GTTTCGGCAATTGGGGGCTGCTTGGGACACAGGCCGTGATCTTCAGCGCCCAGACCACTGAGGAGCCAAGTCTAGGGTTGAGTGAGTGATTGGGGAGGGGGGAAACAGTTGGGGTGGGTGGTGTGCCGAGTGGTGAGAGTCGGCTATTAATAGCATCGGCCGCACCTTGCATAGACCTCTCTCTACTTTTAGCAGTCGTCGGCGGCTATTCGCCATCGTCCGAGAGAGACATGGAGTGTGTGTGCTGTGTGGCGGTTGTGAACAAGTTCTGTTCTGTTCTGTTCAAGTTATATGTTGTATCCCCTCAAACCCCGCGGCGGACGGCAGTGTAAATAAAGATTTCATGTCACTCATCGCCACCGAGGCGATTTAGACGCGGGCTGATGTGAGCCATCCCATTCGGTTTGTGCGAGGGCATTTGCGGCGCCTCTTTGTAGGGCCTGTGCCGCGCTCCAGCAGTGGATTTTGCCTGAACCAATGCAATGCAATGCCGCGCTGTGCTTCGTCCTGACATGATCCCTGTCCCACCCCTGGCCGTTGGACGGTTGTTTTGGGTGACGGTGGGTTAGGGATGTCGAGCCATGCTAGAGGCAGAGCTAAAGCCCGCACTCACTCTGCATAGCATCATCCGTTTGCTGTTCTAGCCAGTCCTGGAAAGACTATGCGAGTACGTTTGAAAACAACATAGTGTCGAGGCTGATTCGTGAGTTGAGCTAGAGGCCGGTTCTGTCATGCATTTTCAGGTACGAGCGAGCCCCGGCAAGGTGCTTCGCATGCAGAGCAGGAGGAACGTAGCATCGTATCCTCCAAAAATTAGTCAGACAGGGGACAGCAACGGGTAACACCCTGGTCTGGGACTCTTTGGTTGGTCCCCGGTGCTGGTGGTGTGGCTGGATCCTGGGACCAGCCGGTCGATGGCCAGGTCTGAGCTCCTCAAGTATTGCCCACCTCCTCCGTATCGATAGCTCTCTTTTCATCGCAGTCATTCAATGGGATGAAAGCCTGTTCTGAAGCTGTTGGATAGGCAGCAAACATCATGGCTGAGGCCGATGTGCCCGTCGACTTGGTCGTCGCGATACCGACCTTCATCGGTTCGCTCCTCTCTTTTCTAGCATCTCTTACCGTTATCGCCCTGCAAGTTGCGAACCCGCCGCGAAGGCATTTCCGTCATTCCATCATCGTCAATCTTCTGGCTTCAGGTACGGCAGTCTCTCGCCGAGCTCTCGACCTCTTCAGCCCCTTTTAAAGTCACTGGCGTACAGATCAACTAACCGCCAGTCCCTAGATTTAATCAACAGTTTGAATAACACCGTCTCTGGCGCAATCGCCATCGGCAGAGGCAAGCTCCCATCACCCGACATACCCCCCAACGCCTCGTGTGTCGCCAATGCCTGGATTGGCCAACTCAGCGTCCAAACGATCGATTTCAACATTCTCATCATTTCTATTACTGTACTCCTCACCGTTTTCCGAAATAATTGGGTGAATGGACTTTCATCAAGGGCCCGGACCTTGATCTGCGTCGCCGCCTGGATCCCCGGCCTGATTACAAGTGAGTCGAATCGCCAAATCGCCCACCGGCTTGACCCCGACTAACAGACACATTTTGTAGGCAATATTGGCCTGGGATTGAATTCTTATGGCTATGTCAGCGGCAATTGGTGTTGGATTCGCTCCGAGCACCTGACCCTTCGATACGCTCTCGGCCACGGCTGGAGACTTGCCATCTTCGTCGCTACGATATCCATCTACACCTACATCTACATCCACCTGCAACGAACCTACAACGCCCTCCGAATGCTCCTGGGCGCCTCCTCCTTTACCGAGCGACGATCCCAAGACAGCGACGCACCGACCTTCCGATCCTCAGACACCCAGCACATCCTCGTCCGACACTCCTACACCGTCTCCTACGAGCTCGAGGGCGGCGGCATGGACGACGACTTTGGCGACCTGATGAGCCCCTCCGACCCGAACGGTAGTACACACTCGACCCTCCCACCCCCGCCGAACCTAACGAGAATGATGCTCATGAACGGCTATCCCCTGGCATACATCATGCTGTGGATTCCCGGCATCGCAAACCGCCTGGCCGAGTCGCTCGGCGGATCGCCACGATGGCTGCAAGCCCTACAAGCGACGACCCAGTTCATCGGCATGGCCAACTCGCTGACGTACGGCATCAGCGAGCAGATGCGGCGCAACGCCCGCAAGAGGTGGAAGGACAAGACGACGCTTGCCACCTACTGAGTGTTTCTACTATATTGCTGGGAGGAGGGGAAAAACTGCATACGCTTGTATTATTTAACGAAGTAATGAAGACACGAACCTTCGTACAACATCATTTGGGACCATACTGTGGATCGGGAAGGGCCTTGTACACTGAGACGAGAGCTACATTGACGGCGCAAGAGGGTTTTTTTCTGCATTTACACCTTTGGGCCTGCTTTGTTGTAGGTTGGTTCAGGAATTTGGGGGGATTTGGGTACATGTACTGGGAAATGGCAGCCTGTTGATCTGTCTGTACTTTTTTGCATTCGTAAATACTACTGATTTACTGACTCACACACTGTCCCAGCTTTTGTCAAATGTGCAAAGTTCGCTCCATCTATGCCTGATCCTCCCTCGTAGAGATAGATGATATTTGGCCATGTAGTAGCTCGGAATCTTTCGATGCGGGAAACACGAGGTTGGATGGCATCTCGCTTCGCTGCACGGCGCGGCCGAGAATCCTTCCCAAACCCCCCAATACGCTCACCCGCGCGGGAGGCTGGCTGTAGAGGGGCGTGAACTGGTCATGGCGCCACCGCATTGACTCTGGTCTCCTTATGGCATAATGGTTTGGTCACAATGGTGCGTACTGTGGTAGCTGTCTGGAGACATGAAAGGCTCAGTTGGATGCACTCGTTCATGCCTTCTTTTCATGAAACAAGTTCGCAATAAGTCATCATTTTCATGCATGGGGATGCGTTTCTTGTACGCGTAGAAGTCTATGATTTTGCCATGAAATGTACTCTCTGCTGTTTCCAAGTCAATGTCTTCCACATCACCTGATTGGTGGCAGGCCCGCGACGCTCGTGCTTGGCTGAGCAAAGAGCACTGTAGCGCCATTACAGATGCTGGGACTTGGTGAGTGTGAATTATCTAAATAATGTGTTGACCGACCGTTCATTGGTATGAGACAAGCGATGTAGACTCGCCACCCGTAGGATGTTCTTCTGCTGAGCCACCGTGCCCCTCGTACCCGATGAGAGCGCTTGTTGCCTTTACCGTCCTTAATAACATCTTGAGACTTAGGACTTTGTGAGACTGGGGTTTCTCTAATCACCCGCGTAGTCAATCAACATTTGTTTCGTGAAAAGTTATCCCTATGGGCAAATTTTGACCCTGGGTATCTCTGATGAACTGCGCCTCTGCCCGACTCGGGGTAGTGTGCCTTTCCTCCCTTCCCTTCAATGAATGCCCTTAAATTTCTTTAAGTTGACGAATTGATATCAATAAAAAAATGAAGATATACCTATCTGGCCGTCCTTTTGTGTCTCTTTGGTCTTTGCAACTGCGCTGCAAATCAATTCTCCAGCTTCAGTTCCCAATATCCCACGTCAATCCAGCGCCCAAACTTCCGACCAATCTCGCTGAAATGCGCGACCTTGTGAAAGCCAAAGCGCTCGTGGAATGCGACGCTTCCCTCGTTGGGAAGAGCGACAACGCCGATCACTACGTGCAGTCTGCGCGTACGTAGCTCATCAAGCAGGGCGCTATACAATGCCTTCCCTGCCCCGGACCTGGTGACCTGCTGGTCGATGTAGACGGAGCTTTCGACCGACGTGCGGTAGGCTGGCCGGGCGTGCCATCTGGTGGCATAGGCGTATCCAATTAGTTTTCCTCCTGCTGTCGCGACGAGCCAGGGCAATTCGGCTGCTTCCACTTTGGCGATCCGTTGGGCCATCTCCGTGGGGTCGACGGGCGCTTCCTCGAACGAGATGGTAGTAGACGCGACGTACGGATTGTAGATGGCGCAAATCGCTGCGGCGTCGTCTGGCGTGACCGGACGGATGGAGACGGAGCTCACGTCTAGGAGAGGAGCCGGCGTAGCCATGATTGCGGGTAAGTCAGTGATGATATGGCAAGATCGTCTGTGAGGGGATGGCGAGACACCATTCGAATGAAGATGAGGCTGTTTTGGAGTCTGGCATATTTCAATCGGACATCCGTACCTGTCGTGACCACCATCATATTTATCTCATATTTATCATGGCCTAATCGCTTTCCCCACCTGCTATATCGATCTATTTGTAAAACGTACTTCAATCACTGACTCATATCTTAGCCCGATCGGACGGTGATACTCACCACATGTTGAGTTTGCTGTGGGAGGGCTTGCAGGTGAGATGAGCCTTTAATATGGCCTGAACATGGAAACCGGCTCGATCGTGCTGGCTCAAACTTGATCACGCGAGGGGTGCCTATCAAGCGCACAAAACAATCAAAGCAGTCTCCCTTCTTCACCAAAGCAGAGTCGTCATTGCCAATGCTACTCATTGGTGGAGGAATGACTCAAAGCTGGGTGGGTAGTAGATAAGATCCCGCCCATCAATCGCCCATGCAGCTCTCCGATGTCTTTCTGACATCATAGGAACTTCAGCTATTCTGCTGATACCTATTGCTAATTGAAGATACGCGACAAATCAACAGTAAGACCTTAAACACTATGCGATTGACTACTGGGGGCTGAGAAATAATGTCATCTCGCCAGGGATTGACAGAGTGAGATAATTTCTTGGCTACAGCGCTTCCCCCGCTGTGGGTTAGACAAACAGGTCACTAAATGTCAGCTTATTCTTCTGTGCAGTCTCCTCTCGTGCATGGTTGTCACTCAACGCGTGTCCTGCTGCACGCCGCCAGCGTACCATCCACCATTCGCTTTAACGAGGGACTTCCATTCCCGTAGTTGGTCCCTGGTTCTGTCGTAGGCTCAAACACGCTTGACTTGAGTCGTTATGCCTGGCATTCCCAGATCAAGAGCCTGCCAGGACTGCAAGCGGAAAAAGATCAAGGTCAGTGGGTGGAAGCGCCAGAACCAGATGGACGATCTCAGCAACGCCGCTGGAGTCCATTAACAGCAATGATACAAAAGTTAACTGAAGTCCAGTGTGATCAGAATTGGCCAGCCTGTGGGCAATGTCTACGCTCCAATCTGGCCTGCCAGGGGCCGACATCTCTCGCCAAGTTTGTCCACCGAACCGCTCCTCCAGTTCAACGGAGGACACGGCTCGAATCACCTGAGCCACAGTCCCAAAATCATCGCACCAAGTATGCCAAGCTCGTCCAGCGCGGCCAAGGACCAACTTTCGAGAATGGAACCTCCATATCGATTATGCGCCTCCAGGCACCCCGCGCGAGCCCGCCTTCCACTTCAGCTGAGAGACTTGCTATCAAGCTCAATATGCTTCTAAGGGATGGACTCGATAACGGAGTCTGTAGACTGATGAGCTACCTACCGCATGTTCGGCAGCGACTGGGACATAGCACCTGTCTACGAGACTGCACAGCAGTATTTTGCTCCGCGTGGGCAGACTATCGTCGCCGGGCGCCCGCGGAGAGCTTAATCTCCCTAAAGCTTTTTGGAAAGGCACTCAGAAGTCTTGGGAAGGCCGTTCAGGACAATAAGATGGCGTTCACTGCGGAGACTTTGGGTGCAATGGCGCTTCTGGAGCGTACCGAGAGTTTATTCGGCGTTGGCCCTGTCAAACACCTGGTTAAGCATTTAAACGGCATCAAATATGTGCTTCAACACAAAGGTCCGCCGAATCTGGATGATGGACTTGATGTTTTGTTGACTTTCGAAAACCAAGGCGCCCTGGTAAGTTTATTCTCCCATATTTGTCAGAAATGCTATGGGAGAAAATACCCTCTAATATCTGGTGTTAGTTTGCATTATCATTGACAGGCGATGAGAACTACATGCTGAAAGAAAATTGGGAAAAGATCGCAGAAAAAGCCGCCCGAGAGAAGGAGATAGCTCGTGGACAGGAATGCTTTCCCGCTGACTTTGATATGGGGCAGGGGGTCGTAGCGAAATGGCCGGATTGGGTCCAGATAACCAAGTCCCTCCGGACAAACCCTGGTAAGATGGAGAGCAAAAAGCTAGAGCTCCTTAATAAACTACACAGCTTGGACGGGGAGATGGATGTATTGATGGCCGGAGTGACTGAGAAGGCGACTTCTCTGGGGTTTCTGCGCGAGATTCCCGACGCAGAGCTCTTCGCTCTGAGCAAGTATGAATTCGGATCACTCTTTTTCGCACAGGCGTTTGCGGGAACACTTCTTCTTCAAATGGTCATCCGACGATTCATTTATGACATTGGGGTTATATACGACTCTCCAGAAGCGTTTGCATTTTCCCGGTACCGAGACATCTGTGTTCAGTTATGGATGATCCTCCCATACATGACTACCCAAGACCCGCTTTCTGCGATGGATTTACTTAACAGAGTTTATCTCAGTATTGAAGCAGCAGATGAGTATGAGAAAAATTGTTTTCTTGAAGCTTTTTTGGCACTCGATGAGTATCAGAAGCGGCTCCCAGCGGATAAGACGCAACTAGACAAGTCTCTCCGAAGCATGGCGGCAGGCCGTTTTGGGCGAGCCATGCAGCAACATGCATAAACTTAGTTAATAACAACCTGAATCCAATCTATGTGATGTTCTTCATTGTGCCGATACCATAACAACAGGAGTGTTCCTGAAAGTTCTATGCAAATATCGACTCAGGTTATCAATGACAGCCCTCGAGACGGAATTCCGCGGAGTGGGGCTTCTCCGTCTCCGTCTCCGTCTCACATATCCTTTACTAATGGACAGTATATGCTTTTGTAGGTATAAAAGAGGATGGGGGGTCGAACCTGACTGATGCCAGGAGACAAGCACTGTAAAGTTACATCTTTTTGTTGTTGTCTTATTCTATACTCGCGCAAGGATTTGTATTGTTGTTGAAAATCATGGCGAGGATCTTCTTGTCAGTCTATCTTGAAGCAAGATGTTTCCCAGTTGAATTCATCTCACCATGTTATCTCTAGAACCGGTGCGTCGGGCTACATTGGTGGCGATTTCCTCCATCTTCTCAACAAATTGCACCCCGAATACCAAGTGAAGGCCTTGGTACGAGGCGCTGCCAAAATTGAAGCTGTCAAGAAGGCCTTCGATAGCAATCAAGTCCAAGTAGTGGAGGGAGATTTAGATGATTCTAGTCTCATTTCTCGACAAACAAGCGGAGCCGACATTGTCATTAGTAAGTAGCTTGATGAGTATCCAATACCTGTTCCCAATTCTTACCACGAATTTTCTAGATCTGGCTGCTTCAGGACATCTCCAAAGCGTAGAAGCAATCCACAAGGCTCTGTCTGCTAGATCTAGAGATCCCAGCTCGCCATACTGGATACAAATATCCGGAGGGAGTGTTGTAGCCGCGGCGGAGGTGACGGACAAGACTCGAATCTCTGGCACAGGTAGCGATGTCACCTGGGATGATCTTCGGGATATTGACGCCTTGAAAACCTTCATCAAGAAGTATCCGTATCGCAAAGTCGATAATTATATGCTGGATGTGGCTACCACTACTCCTCACATTAACACTGCCGTCGTCATACCTCCCATGATCTATGGGCCTGGCCGTGGCCCGGTTAATCAGAGGAGCGTCCAGCTTCCGAACCTTGCTAGAGAAACGTTGAAGCGTCGTCGAGCGTTCCAAGTTGGGCCTGGCGAGAGCCGTTGGAGCTCCATCCATGTTCGAGATCTGAGCCAAATCATTGTCCGCCTTGTTGAGAAGGCAGTGGAGGGCAGGAAAGAGGAGAACCTCTGGGGCCCGAGAGGGCTATATTTCACCGGAGTTGGGGAGTTGGTACGTTCACGACTGCAAAGTAATTGGACAGCAGGGGCTGATAGTCAGCTAACGCATTGATACTAGTCATTGTCGGAGATATCTACACGGATTGCATCGGCTGCAGCGAGCGCCAACCTTTTATCTGATAATTCAGTTGAAGAGCTCGACGCAGATCAGTTTGAAAGTCTTCTGCCTCATGGCAACGTGTTGTATGGGACCAACGTTCGCTATGGGGCCAGTAGAGCTCGAAGACATCTGGATTGGGAACCAAAGGAAGAAAATCTGGAGGAAACCATTTCTGCAACAGTGCAAGCGGAGGCCAAGAATCTTGGGCTTTTGCATACGAGCGAGAGTCCTAATCATCTCTAGAAGAGCATGCTATGTCAAACTTGTGCCTTATTATGAATAGCTGGAACTCTTGCGGGGTCCCATCAATACCGTCCTCCTCCTATGTTTGGACAGTTGTCTATTCAAGGGCTCAGCAAGAAAGCGGTCGGGTCTTTGAGTTGTTGATTGAATGGAATATTGTTTCTGTATTGACATCCAAACTAAGACATCACACTGTCATAGACACATGAAATTCGCTTAATCATCCTCATCATAGTCCTGCTCCTCCTCTTCTTCCTCCTCTTCCTCCTCGTCCTCGTCCTCATCCTCATCCTCTGATGACGAGGAGGAAGAGTCGTCGCTCCCCGACTTCTCAGAACCCTCCTCCTCGCGATCGCTGTCGCCAGAATGATGTGCCTCGTCGCCGTGAACACCAGCAGCGTGGGCACCACCATGACCACCGCCACCGTGGCCGCCGCTCTTGGCCTTGTCCTTTTCCTTCTTCTTGTCCAGCAACTTCTTGCCCTTCTTTAGCAGCGAGAGAAAGCCGCCGCTCTTCTCCTTCTTCTCACCTCCATCCTCATCGTCGGAACCACCATCCCTGTCCTTCTTTTTCTTGTCGTCCTTATCCTTGTCGGACTTTTCTTCCTTATCCTTCTTCTCATCCTTATCTTTATCTTTCTTCTCATCCTTGTCCTTGTCCTTCTTCTCGTCCTTGTCCTTATCGGACTTCTCACCTTGGTACTTTTCAGCCTCACCACGCGCTGCCTTGTCGCCCTCTGCGCCGGGCGGGTGTGGCGGATGAGATTGCGCTCCTGTAGCGGGAGCGCCTCCAGGGAATTCCCATTGAGAGACTCCAGTGTGCGTGTTAATGTAGAACCTGCGTGAAAATAACGCGCTGTTAGCGCCGCCCTCAAGTTGGCGTCATCAATTGAACGTACCATCGCTGGTAGTTGGTATCCCACTGCGCAGCCCATCCAGCGGGGAGCGGCGGGCCGGGGACAGGAGCGGTATTATGATCGCCCATGATGCCAAGAGGGTTCCTCTGGAGTGACTATGTGAACGGAATATGGATGGGATGTGGGAGACTTGGCGTGCAGCCGATGGTGAGCAACACAGATGAGGAGATGGAGGATGGGAGGAGGGGAACACAGTCGATTGGGCGACCAAGGAATATTTGTAGTAGCATTAATACGGGACAGGGTCAATCAAACTCATCCGGAAAGCCAACAGAAGTACTCGGTCCCGCGCAGTAAGAGCCGATGTGGAGGGGATCGATCAGGCGAGGCAGTAGGGCGAACCGGGAGGTGGGCATTGCCTCGCCGCATGATTCTCCATTCGGGGAGGTGCCATTGCTCAAGCACACCACGAGAGCGAGCCATTTCAGAATTGCAAGAGAGCAACATTGTCAGCACAGTTGGCGCTGTCATCTTGTGGGGCGGCATTGGGACAATATCGACACGCTGGGAAGCGCTGGGAGCTTCGGCAATCCTGATCAATGGCTGGCTGGGTTGCTTTGTTGGCTCCTACCTGTCCATTGAGGCCGGGGAGGGGTCGAACTCGTCCCGGATGGCCGCTTATTTTTAGATAGCGGTTACGCCATTTTCATGCAAGGCCATCCTGCATGTCTCTGCTAGCAGAGGGGGATATCCATCATTTGGACCCGGTGGCAGGTACATGGACCTGCTGAGGCCTGTGATTGAGTGCAGCAGCCTTTGAGATGGAGTCAAGACGCACTACAGGGCTGCAGTCAGCGTGAGTGGGTGGGCAGACATGGATACATCACCGCCAGCACAACCAGCGAGACCTTTGCTGGAGACTTGGAAACCCGGGATGGGATAAGTACCTAGCAGTGAACACCAGGTGGTCACAGGAAGACAGGGTACTGGCTTTCCTGTTCATTGATCCCTCTGACATAAGCTCGGCCAACAAGGCCTCGAGAATGGGCGAAACAGTAGATCGACGGAATGTGGGGACAGGTCCGGTAAGAGATTTTCATTGCTGAATCAATGAGGAAAGGAACGTGCTGGTTTAACCCCTTGTTTTTCAGCTAAGCAGGAGTCTAGATTAGCCGCCGAGCTGATATTTAAGGGGCTTGTCGTAGCCTCCAGCTACCGTTGGTTCTCAATCGTTTGTTGGTCAGCTCATCATAATAACACCATCTGTCACATTGCAGGCAGAAGTTGTAGTGGGGGGTGGCTGAGACACAATCCTTCCTCCCCTCCCGTTGATTACAGGGCACACGTGAGGTGAGCGAGCCGAACGTTTCCTGCCGCTTTGCCATTGGTACTCCACCTACCAGGCTTCTAATTATGCTTAGTGCTTAATATGCATATATTTTCCTGTCTAACGATGCCTGAAGTGATTGGTTGTCGAGATGTTTGTCCAACAATGCTCGAATTGTGCAATTTGCTGCGAGTAATGTTAAACTCAATCGCCCTCGTCGTTTTGTCGATTGCCACAACTATCGCCGGTTCCATAGTGTATATATCTTTGTGCTAAACAAGAAAAGACCGTGGCTGGTAGAGATGACAGTCTCCTTCTGTTCACAGTTAATCCTAGAAACCCAGCGCGCTTGGAGACATCGTCTCCGCAAGAGCTTGAACTCACCATGTATGGGACCGTCAGCCGCTTCCTCAACAATATGCACCCAATATCCGCCAAGGGCTTGACTGAGCGCTTCCCCTTCTTCGATCCGTTGGGGTGTCAAGGTCTTGTCTTCGACCGTGGATAGCTGGCGCCAATGCTTCAATCCTCCAAATTCCGATACCTGTGGTCGAGTTACCGCCCTCCCTTGCGTCTTTGTCAAATGGACTTCTGCAGCCTGGTAGAAAGCCAAGTTCTCTAAACTAATGGTGACATTGGCGGAAGCTGGTGCTATCCTCTTAACAGCCATGTCGAACAATTCAAACTGCTCTGGGGCTGCTATCTCCATAAGTTCAGCAATGACTTCAGCTGAAATATGTTTCGCATTGGTAAGACGCTGAAATTCTTGGTAGCTGCGTAAATTTAGGCCAACCATGCATATTCGGAGATAGGTAAGGGAAGGGAGAACCGTATTTCCTTTTTCCTGAGATCTGTAGCTTTTGCATGCATCCGTAAGGGGGATAGAATGGGGATGCCAGAGCAGTTCAAGAGATGTTAACAGCGAGAGGGTTGTGGACGGAAGAATGTCGTTCATTCCACGCAAGAGAGGAATCGAAGCCATCTGTATCGTATTCGTGCGGTAGAGGACTTCTACTCCCTCCACGTATCTACTCTATTGTCAGCAATCTCAGCCGGTGTCGCCAGCAATATCAAGGTCACCACTCACGCTTGCCGACAAGTGCGAATCCAACCCGTCACCCCGATCTGGCACTTGCTGGGCCATGTACCAGGCCATTCAGAGCAGGTGCCTTGACCTGCCAGGCAACCGTCGAGTAAGAATGATCGCGGCTTGACCGGCCAGCTCCGGGTCCGACCTAGCGACAACGGGGCGTCTTCCGGCGCGGTTCGATGGCAGACACAGCCGTACCACATCCACTTAGATGTCCCTACGGTGAAGTTATGATAATGCCGCGCGTGAGCTGTCGAATAATGCTGCACGTGAGATGTCGGATCATATTCCGGCACGGCGTCCACCACCTTCCAGGGTCTCTGAAATTGCACACTCATGTGCATCGTGCGATGTCCAAACGCGTGAATTAGGATACACCGCCGCACTTCAGGTGGCAGCATGCTGAAGAACGGACCATTCGGCTTGGAGTCCGTCTGATTACCCTTGATGCTGATGGGAGCCGGGGCGGGGATAGGCTGAAGAAGCTGCTGCGCAAGACGGTATCGTATGGCATCTCCTTCGAAATGCCCGACAACAGAGTTTGACTCATCCGAGTCACTCCTGTGATGCGCATGCTGTGGAGTTCTGTTCCCGCTATTGGATGCTTCCCTGTGTAAGTGACTCTCCTGACGCGCATGCTTTTGAGGTCGAGTAAAGCCACGTCTGAAAGCGTCAAATATAAGTTGCGCGACGATCAAGAAGGGACGGCAGATGATGAAAACAATGTCGACAAGCGTGACGAGGACGAATCGGGCCAACGTCAGGGCCACACCGTTGTGGTGGCGATCGATCCAGATGTCACGAAAGGTGACCGTCTTCTTCAGTTGTACCATGATGGGCCCTTTGGTTGAGGTCGTTTGCCTCCTTTTCACTCCGTCCCGTCTGTTTTGCGAGTCGCGTGTTTGTTGATGAACGTGGCAACAATAATAAATGCCCGTGATTCAGCGTTTCAGTTAAATTATTTATTAAATAACGTGTCTGCCTTTTGCTCCGCCTCACATCCATGTCCTACAACGCTATTGGCTGGCCTTTGGCTCCGTCACCTCTTGGATGCTGTCTTTACTTCCAGGCAATACATTGGCTGCGCAGGTTATCAGACTGATCTTGAAGTATCACTGAACGGTACAGAGGCATATGGAACATCAATGGGCGCTAGAATTCAACTCTACATCTGGTGATGTTTTCACGGTGCTTCTGGTTCCAGACTACTTACATACCCTGTACCTAGGCAACTATTACACTAGTTTAATCACGACATCGAGTTCCTGCGCCGTAACTTGTAGGTCGAGCTGAATGATATCCGTCTTTTCAAAAAGATCATATACTCCTATGAGCTTTCCATTTTGATAAACGCAATATGAGCCCTTGGCGAATCCCGAAAGTTGTGGCTCGACCCTGTAATGATTGATTAACATGAGCGCGATCAACGAAATGTCAACACTCCTCGAAAACTCACCATTTGCTCTGTCCATCGAATGAACGAAGAGTGAGGACAAGGGTTTTCTTGTTCTGGTCCCAATTGCCACGTAGAAAGTCCACACCGCTCGAGAGATCGACATTATCAATGAATGGATAATTCGCAAAGTGCTCGTTGCCCCATGGATTCTCATACATCTTGCGTTGCCCCTGTGGTACGTTCAGTCGCGCGTATGCAATGGCCGCGTTCCCGGTGAATCGATCCATATCCACACAAGAGTTGTTGCTGCTTCTTGAAGGGGCATAAAATAGCCCACCCTCATCCCAGTTTGGAGTGAATTTGTTGTCCACGAGATCAAGTAGCTTTTGTAGCGTCGATAAATCACCTGCCTCGGAAATCATCATTGAAGTGTATCCAAGCACTGGTTTATTCAAGTGAACTGTGGCTCCGGGCATTAAGGGTTTGATGGCAAATGATTTATATGCGCCGTCCAGTGAAGCACTGCCCAGCGGTATGGACCTAATAACAGTGTTGTACGCGCTGTTTGCACTCGCCGGGTTCCAAGAATTCAAGAATGCAACGGCCCTGTTTTACATCAGTATGGGTTGGAAGTAGTTTCATCGAGGCCTCCTACCAAGCTGTGAATCCAACATCTTTCGCATGCCGCTTGCGATCCTGCTTGGGGGAAAACGAGTCAATATAGAGACCGTTTTCTTGAAACATGCCCTTTGCTTTCCATGCAGCTTGATATTGTTCAAGAACCGTGGCCGATGAAGAAGTTCCATCGCGTACGTCATTGTAACGTATCGCGATCAACTATATCGGTGTATTGCTATTGTTAGTGATCAAGAGCTGATGGGATTATCGTGGGCCAATTACCGGAAATTGATTGCAAACGATGAAGATGCTGTTTGGCTCACAGCATACCCCCAGCCATCCCTCTCGTTCCATTTCCCTGACAATAGCAGCCTGCAGGCTTGCTCTATTGTATGTAAATCTTTCTGGTCCCATCCCCCAGAACACAGGGCACCAGTTAAACTCAAGGGCGCCTTCTTCATTGAACTTGTCATCGTTGAAAAGCATTGTGTATAAGGATATCATCAGAAGAAGGTGACCAGAGTACTTGAGTAAAGTCAGTATCTGCCTTCAAACTCATATAGGTCGATTGCATACCATAATGTTCTCTCTTACCACTGGGTCCGCCCAGGGCTGGCGCAGTTCGGTCAGATCTGGATCCATGAGTTTACCACTGTGACTAGTTAGAAACCAATACCCCCAGACATCTCGCAGCATCATTTTCCTAATCAGCGATTCAAGCAACGTCTTGAACACGGATCTGAGGAGAGGGAGTCTATGGTAATGCGCCGCCCCGGTAGCGTATGCCATGGTGGCAAGTTGATATCGATACGCGTCGAGCCACTCCTGCCCGGGCTCTTGACTACCCATGTGGTGCCAATCTCCATCCTTTTGGGCGACGAGATTGTGAAAATGCCGTAAATGACCGGCTTGTTCAGTAGAAAGCTTCGGGAACTTTGTCAAGAAATCGTGGCTCAGTAGCTGAGGAACGGTCGCGTCGCCTTCCCGTGGAGGCACAACCTTTTTAGGCTTCGAGACGTCTCTTCACATAGTTAGAATCATGAACACAACTCTACGTGCTGGATGCGGCACGAACGATTCGGTCATCGCAGCTATAGGGGCGAGAAGCCGATTTTATTGGTGCTATGAAGGTCGAAAGTAGATGCAGATGAGAAAGTGACAAAGTTTTTCTCTCTCTCACTCTGGAACCTATCTTTTAAAATGTGAGGGAAGAAGAGTACTCAAGGGAAAACTAGGACGCTGATAAGTACTATGGGTTTGTCATGAATCACATCCTCGGCCTTAGAATCCCCGCACTGCCTTTCAGCTCTGAATCACGTCACTATGACACCATTGGTGCGGACCATAGTGCCCTTTTCATGAAAAGAATGGCATGGCTAGTTGTCTTCCTTTCCTCTTTCTGAAATGCCGAGCGGCTTATTAGAGACTCTGGAGCCGCACCGGTATTAGGAGGCGGCCGGGGTCCGGGAACAGGGGAAATCACGGCCAGTGGACGGTGTCTAACAAACCGTGCTGCTTATGAGAGTAAGCTTACCTAATTTCTTAGTTGAATACCTCTATTAAGCGAATATGAATCTGTCTAATGGATATTTCTTTTAGTTGAATGTGTGTCCCAATCAGGCGATTCATCACTGAAGTGGGAAATTGTTCATAGGAGGTTGCACATGGCAACAACCCCCTTTCTCCCACTCACGACTCCTCGCACCTATCGCTTAACTGACTACATATAATAATCTGTGGTTGATTTATATATTCCATTTCCAGTACGTATATCCCATTCAAGATACTGCACACGAGGTTAGGCGTCTGATTGACAAGTCAACCTGTCGTTGCCAGCCACGTCAAGTGGTCTCAATTTGCGCGAGACTTGGCGCGATTACAACCATTTAAGGAGCATGGCGGTTGAACCGGGTGGTGAGAAACAGATAGGGAGTGGCGGCAAAGGTAGGCATTTGACACTACTTTCCCTTCCTACTTTGATGCTGACAACAAGTGTCCGTCATCGCAGAACTTTTGGAGAGGACCGTGCAAATATTGACTCCAGCATTCGAGGATGACCCAGTCTACAATTGGCTCTTGTACGATGTCCCTGAGCCGAAACGGAAAGTGATGCTCCAGAAGCTACTCTCCGGATTTTTGACACAGGGGAGTCTCAACGACGGTATTTTTATCCAAGTAGAAGATTTCGCTTCATGTGGCCTCTTCATGCCGCCAAATACGAGCATGGACAATCTCTGGACACTTCCATCTGCTGGTATTTTTACGGCCTTATGGGAAATAGGCATAGGATGCTTCAAGGTATTTCGGAATCCACCTCTGTGTCTACGTGTGAGTATTGCATCTCTAATCTTAACCTTGATCAATAGCGCGCTATGGTTGAGTACAATGGTGGTGTTGAGCCATTGATGAAGAAAGCGTTCACCAAAGCTGAGCAAAAGGAGCACTGGTATGTTTTCATCATGGCTACAGATGTAGACCGTCGCCGAAAAGGCCATGCAAGTAAGTTGCTTGCGCACTTACAAGATAGGGCACGAGAAGGCAAGCATCCCATCTGGCTTGAGGCTACAACGGATGCTTCCAGAGAGCTATATCTGAAACTTGGATTTGAAGTGTTTGGTGACATAAATTTGGGAAAGGGAGTAGTTGGAGACGATGGACTGCCTAAGGATGACGGCGAAGGCATCACTATTTGGTCCATGCTCTGGCGACCGTGATGTTGCCGCAGTTTTAGACTACCTAGGTCACTTTCGTTTCTCATCCCCGTACTGTGAGAGGGTTTGTGTATAGAGTAAAAAGCAGCAATGGAAGGTGATAGACCTGAAATCTTAACAAATAATCTTAGAAACAACCACCTATTTGGCCAAAAAGCCACCATCCACGGGCAAAACGACACCTGTAATATATGACGCCGATGGTGATGATAACCACAAAGAGGCCTGAGCCACTTCCCGAGGTAGGCCGAAGCGATTCAGGTAGCTGACTTTGGGAGCAAATTCGTCATGCGTAGTCTTCATTATTTTTAGCGCCTCCTCGGCCATCGCAGTCTGACAATAGAGACGAGGTTAATAAGCTATCAAATGGGACGCTTGTGGAGAGTTGTTGAGTATAACTCACGAAGATGGCACCTGGGGCAACGGCATTGACACGAATGTTATGAGGTCCGCCCTCCATACTTGCATGCTTGGTTAAACCGACGAGAGCATGCTTCGCTGATGTGTAAGCGGGCATATTTGGCTGAGGCTTGAAGGCATTGATACTGGCAATGTTGACGATTGAACCACCACCACCCTGCGCGATGAACTGCCTCATCTGATATTTCACGCATAGCGCAGTACCAGTCAAGGTGATACTCATCAGCCTGTCCCAATAATTCTCGTCGAAGTCCAGCAAAGTGCCATTATCTGGCGTGAGGCCGGCATTATTGATGGCGCAGTCAAGGCGCCCAAACGTGTCGACAACGAACTGAACTAAGGCTGAGACCTGCTCTGAAGACGAGATGTCCGTCTTGGAGAAGTATATTTCACCCCAAGGCGATAGCTCCCGGGCTACTTCATTGCCTTTGGCATCCTGGATATCGCAGATGACTACCTTGGCCCCCGCCTTTAGGAAGACCTCAGCTGTGACTTTGCCCATCCCTTGAGCACCGCCAGTGATCAGGGCCACCTTGTCCTTCAGTATAGGGAAGATTTCGACTTCAGGAACATCAGGTGACATTTTAATAAATATGTGGTGACTTGAAGATAACGAGGGTTAAATTTGGAAGCGCTGCTGACGAGGAGAAGTGGCGGAGCAGAGAGTTGATGAAAGGATTGATCAGCCTATCACTGATACCTAACTAGAACGTATTATTAGGGTCCATTGAATCAAAGGGTCCTTTGAGGGGATAACTAGTGTAGTTGCATTGTTTATGTATCATTCTTGGCTCGATAACCACCGATAATGATGCATCTCGGCGATTATTGCTGCATTTACGGTTAACGTTATGCGGCATGACACGTAAGTACCAAAGGATTAGCATTGTCGTATTTATCATGTGATCCTTTGTTTGGTTTGTAGAGATATGTATATTTATAAACTGGAATTAATGCTGCCTTTATATATCTGCGAATGTTCACGATTGATTACCTCTAATCGTGAGGCTCATTTCCCACGGAGAGAAGTGTAAGGGTGAATACTATAGCTAATTCCGAGCTTGGATAGCTTGAGCTTTCCAACCAGAACGCCCAGCCATTCTATTTAATCTATAGTCTATAGTGTTTGAGTGTCTACCTAGTAGCTGGTCTCGGAATTTCGAAAGACCATTTTGTCGTAGAAGCCACTTCTCATTACTGAGTTTTCCCAGGCTTTGTGGGTTCTTGATCACTCAGCACTTGTCCATCATCTTCGCTGCGCTCCTCTTCTGTTCCCTTCTCCTCTGGAAGGCCCTTCCCACGCAGAGCTCGCCAAGCCAACTTGAATGCCAAACCGAGGACTTTGCGCCCATCGTAAACCGGGTAGATAGAGGACACGAAGAGGCAGAAGAATAGCCATATGATGGACACAACGACCCAGCCCATGAAAAACTAGATACCGTTAGTTAAATAAACAAATCACTTGAATGCTAGAAAGTTCGTACTGGTTTATTGAAAACCCAGTCACGGTAGAGCGGCAACGGCCACACAACCCAGGTCACCAACCCAATGACAATGCTGGCAATCGCTGCAATTGTCTTCGCGCGGTTCATCCTACGCAGCTCCTTCTCCGGATAGGGATGCTGCACTTGATCCAAGCTGTCGACCTCGATGACAGCAGATGTAGGTGCGCCATCTTTGACCTCGGTCAAGAGGAGGAAGATGCGCCAATCGAAGTCTTGGGGCTGTGATGGGAGGGTCAGTAAGTTTCATTGAAATAGGAAGATGTAACATTGGGCGTACCTTGATCAACGTGATCAGGACAGAATAGATGCCGGATGAAAAGGTTGAAGTTATTGCTCCCCACAAACAAGGCAGTTGAGCCTCGGTCGTCAAGATTGTGAGCTCACCGTAGTATGCATACGCTGAGCCGAGCCACGCGGCGATACCTGAGGCCTGTGCATCATGTCAGTATCTGGCCGAGCTTTGGAGTAGATGTGAACTTACGAGTCCCAAGATGGGTGCTATAATAGCAGCGGCCTTGGACTGCTTGTTCCAAAGGATGGTCAACGCCATCGGAATCACGCCAGGGCAGATGATAGTCGCCAGAAAGTAACCCATCCAGTTAAGGTCGACACCTCCATAGTGAAGAGCCGTCGCAAAAGCAGAAGCAAAGATTCCAAAGCCCACAACAACCCAGTGCGAGACTCGAATCACTTGTTTATCAGTGGCTTTTGGGTTGATATATGTACGATAGATATCAAACGAGCCAATGCTGGAGACAGCAATCAGCTGCGCACTTGTGGTGCTGGTAACAGCCATGAAAACTACCAGCAAAAGCCCGAAAGCACCGCCCTTTCCAGCCACAGACATGACAGTATATGGCAGGACATAACCCGCGTTAATTTCGTCTATTGTCATTGCACGCGGATATGTCGGGAAGAGTGGACTCTTCTCAAGCACAATTGCGGCCAAGCCAGCCGTCGTTCCGACTGCCCAAGGCACTGCAAAGTAAGCAATTCCACCTAGCATATATCCAGGCATTGCAGCTGCAGTATCGGCGGCAAAACCCTTTTGCCAGAAGCTCGTGTCCATGATTACCAAGGCAAAGTCACCAAAGGAGTGGACTAGGCCAAAGATTATGGAGCCCTTGGACTTGAAAGTCAAGATCGATCCGAGGTAGTTCCCAGCTATGTTCGTAGACTTGTCAGCCTCTACGAGGGCATCATAGAAGCTTCCGACACCCGCGATTGCATCGTTATTTATAACAGCAATGGTTATCCAACAGAGAAGAATCATGATAACCAGAGTGTGAACGTAGTCGGTGAGAAACGTTGCTTTTAGCCCGCCAACAACAGTGTATACGATGACACCGATTGGTAAAAGGAAGGTCGACGCAATGATGTGTAGTCCTGTTAGAGCTGTGATGACTCCTGCCGCACCCAGTATCATGGCAGTAACTGATAAGAGATTGGTGACAAGGCACAGAAAGATATAGACAATGTGTGCCTCAAAGCCGTATCGGAGGCGAACAATCTCAAGTGCCGTATGCCCATTTCTGCTTGGTCTTAGTATGAATGAATACATTGCCACTGAAGTCACTCACGGGATCTTGACTTTGGCATGGATAGCTAGAACGGTCATCAGGGCTATCTGGATGGTGCATCCCGCAGCATACCAGAATGGAGCTGATTATATGTCAGTTGCTGCAAAGCCATAAATCGTCGAGACTGAGACACATACCGGCAATTCCATACAAATAACCTTGTGCAGCCGTCCAGATAATAGCTGTACTGTCGTCAGGCTAGTTAGTCAATGGCTGAAGAAACACGTCTATAAGTGCAACTCACGCCCACATCCACGAAGATACCACTGCAGATGCTGTTAAGCCAGTTCCAACAGACCGGTTCGCAACCATGAACATCTCAGACCGATCAGATCTTTCTCCCAAAAACCTCTTCAGAAACTGTATGACAAGAATCATGCCAAGGCCAAAGGCGAGGCCGACTCCCACAACAACGCCATAGCCAACACCTTGGGACAGAGGAACTAGCGCTTCATCGGAGGATGCCATCGTGGAAAGAAGCAGTGGAAATATCACTGTGTCGTTGCAAATCAAGGGTCTAAGAAGTCAACCAGTCACATACGTCAAGTCTACTTATATCTCGCTGTTAAACCCGGTTGTCTCCGCTACGACTGGTGTCAGTGTGGATTTGGAATGTCGTGCTCTACGGGTTTTGCAGGTTGGATTGCGCAATGATGGCTTACCAGCTCGCAATACGATTAATACCGCTGTTATGAAACACAAGTCAACAACTTATCTCCAAACCCTTTACTCAAGATGGAAATCTCAGGGATCTACCCATGTAAGCTAGGTCAAAGGGAAGCTACCACCGAGGTAGATGTGTAATTAGCTCGCCCATTACAATGTGTCTTATCAAAACGACTCCCATGTTTGCACACTTCTATGGGTAGAGCCTAGCCTAGATCTAGACATGATCGTCTTTTAATAAAGAGTAGGCATCTACACGTGGAAATATAGGTGGATCAAAGTAGACGGCTAAGAGAATTTTTTTCCAACGCTGGAATTTTCTGACACTGCTAAAAGGCTTCATAGAACCTCGTCGACTAACTGTATTAACCCGCAGAATCCTCCTATAATTACCGAGAAAAGAGCCTAATATTCATTCATTGACTTCGACCACGCTGAAAAGGTAAGACTAGTCGCATCAATCTTCGCCTGACCACCGGCAGAAAGGTCGTCAAATCCTGCTACTTCGAGGGTATTTTCTATAGTTCCACCCGGAAAGTAGTCTCGGGATAATTGTCCATATAAATATAGGTTCTGCTGAGCTAATTAGTCCATGCTACCTTAGGTATGAGTAGAAAATGGAAGAGGCGTAAAGTTTATATCCAGAGAAAATACCGGCTGTATCCGTTTCATTGTCGTCAAGAATGCTCGCAATGCTAGAACAGGGACGCTGTTAATTGACTGTCACGGTAGCTGCCTGGTCAGCATGTATTGTTCTTCGCGACTCTTGAGAAGAGAGGTAACTTACTAACCCCCCAACAAACTGGTTCATCCAGGAGGTCCTTGTTTATTATTATCGTTTCCGTCCTTCCGCGTCTAGACTTAGCTTAAGCTATAAGGTAGCAACCACAGCCAATATCAAGGTCGCGTAATAGGGAGCACTAATGTTATGGAAGCTAGACCTCAACAGTCTTCATACACAGTTGAAAGATATGACAATCTTAGAGATTGATGATGGATTTATTAGAGTTAGCCAGAAATGGAAGTACACCGACACTCCTTTAGCGGAGGGTGTACTTGTTGGTTGGCGTAATCCAATAACGAACAAGCAATTTCTAAGCTACTTCGCATGTGTTGGCTCTGCAATCTGTTGGCTCTGCAGTCTGAACACACGGAATATTAAATACGCGTCTCTGTCAATTTTGGCTTAGATAATTAGTTCGTACCCCCTCTCCTAGCTTTGAGGTATTCCCCTCATACTGTGTATGTAGTATGTTATTTGTCGCTCATCAACGGTCATACTCCCTCGACAACATTTGTGTCATATCTCGAGGGCTCCCTTTTCTTCAATATCTTTATCTCAATATTGAGTGGGATACGTGACCTGAACGGCGATGGCTCCCGGTTCCAGTGAGAAAAACAAAGATCTTTGCCAGTTGTGCCGGAATATCTTCATTGGACCGGTTGCAGTCCATGTACAGACGGAAACAAACGAGAAGCAATGCCAAAGGCCACACCACAAAACCCTTGACAGTCTTACTGCAGCGGCAAATACTGGGTGTTTCATTTGTAAATGTCTGGTTCGCGGCGTGCTGGCTAGTCCCCGAGTTGGAGATGGGAGCAAAGACATCTCAATGACCTATGTCGTATGGGATGACTGGGAATTCGAGCAAGAAATATGGTTCAAATACGATGGATATAAGAACATCGTGTTTCAGCTGTATTCTACAATAGACGGTATTCTACAAATTCATGGCATCATTTGAAGGGCCATTTGCTAATACCCATATCACAGTGAAAGTTCTCCCCTCTCAAAGCATCTCCTCTGACTCTACGGGGTCCGATGCCTGCATATCGCAAATAAAGGCATGGCTTCACGGCTGCCAACACGGGCATTCTCTGTGCAACAACACTCTTGCCACTTCAGCTTGGAAGCCCACAAGGCTACTAAAAGTTGAGAAAGACGGAAAAGGCGTTCGGCTTTGCCATGGTGCAGATATCCCAGCAACGAAACAATATGCATCATTAAGCCATAGATGGGGGACCAACAAATTCTTTTGCTTGACCAAGGATACCATCGGTAAGGTCCAAAAGGGGATATCAAGTTTCGATTTGACCAAGACATTTCAAGACGCTATCTCTCTTGTCAGTCGCCTAGGCATCGAGCACATATGGATTGATTCCCTCTGCATTCTCCAAGATTCTTCGGATGATTGGGATCGTGAGGCAGCAGCTATGTCGGACGTATATCTCAATGCCACAATCAACATAGCAGCAACGGCTGCCATCGACGGGAGAGAGGGCTTGTTTAACGACAGGGATTCCTTGGAGACAGGACCTTTTCAGGTTCACGTGGATTGGCAAGGGAATTGGTACGGCGGGCCAAAGCGACCATACCGCGGTTGGTATTATCTCGCTCTTACCCAGGCCTTCGACATCGATGTGCGTAACGCGCCGCTCAACACTCGTGGCTGGGTATTTCAAGAACGAACCCTGTCAACCAGGATTTTGCATTTTTCGAAACAACAGATATACTGGGAATGCATGCAGTTGACTTCAAATGAAGCCTTTCCAGAGGGTTTTCTACAGAATGATCAATGGATAACCTCCATTGGGCCTCGAACATTCTGGTCATCAGATAAGATTCAGAACATCTGCCAGAAGCCTTCACAAACGACCATAGAGATATCTCGGTCAGGTAGCATTGCTGGGAAATTGATGACAAGGTCTAATCCCGAGAGTAAGGAGAAAAAGGAATATGATCAATGGAGACGGTACGTAGCTGATTACACCAAATGCTCCCTGACGAAACCAAAGGACAAGCTCATTGCCATTGGTGGCATCGCCTCCGCTTTGGCTCCTTGGCTAAAAGATGAGAACATTGTTGGCTGCTGGCGAGGCTCCATCTTCGAAGATCTGCTCTGGAAAAGAGCTTTTCGGACGGACACTCTTGACTCCAAAGCGGCACCTTTGGAATACAGAGCTCCAAGCTGGTCATGGGCGTCAGTCGATGGAGCTGTTGAGTACGACTCATTCAGTTCAGATTCATTCGAACCAATACAATACCACTGCACTCTGGTAGAAGTTGCGGTCCTTCGTTCAGCCTCCGGTGTGGTGGGGGGCATTGGCGATGAGTTTATCAGGATCCGGGGACCTCTAAGAGTAACCGCGATTGAAACACTTGGATCATTTGATGTAAACTCAAGACTTTGGGGTCTCAGCATATCATGGGACTCATCCAACCATGGCCATGCCTTGAGTCAACCCCATCGTCGATTCACAATCATGACGTGCCAAGGAGCTATTCATACCCAAGAGAGCGAGATATTTATGCTTCCTATTCTTAACGCGCCGGATACACTTACGGAGATGGATAAGATGCGGGGAATTTTATTGATTCGTACACAGGGTGTGAAGGGTCAGTTCTTTCGGGTTGGGCATTTCGAAACCGACGATCCCAAAGTACAAAAGGCGGTGCTGGAATCAAGAGTTCCTGCTCCTGATAAATTTGTGGAGGCTGTTAACGAGGATGGAACATGCATCATTAGGATTCTATGAAGTACAAACCTTAAGGAAGAAGCATAATCAAGACTCATACTGTCTGGATATGTTCACTATCTTAGTGATTGGCTTCTTATCTTTATGCATTTGTTTTTCTATTTTCTTTGTTAATCGTTTCGTGTTAGTTAGTTGCGATCATAATTTCAGACCGCTCTTTGAGGTTGCGGGTGCGATATCATGACATCCAACCATAACATTAGGAGTTTTCGTCGCCACTATGACTGGCCTCTTTGGTGAAACATAGATATAACCTTGATATATGGTTTAGCAGCCACTTGAGATAGTCGTACAGACTGAGCACTGGAGTATCCTCGGGGAGAACGCTCCAGGGGATATTTAGGCTTGATGACTCAGAGGGAGAATGTATGATAGAATGAATGTTGAGTATAGAAAACCGTGATTGAATCAGGGAATACCGATACTACCTAATCACAAATATCCAGCAGTGATACTAGGAAGGCCTTGGCGCGTATAAAATACAACTCCTGTGAAACAATTGTTTATGAATCGATAGGAAATGCTCTGTAAACAGATAGGTCACCTTGCGTCTCTATTCATCTTTATAGTCGTTGGCTAATATATTGGTGATCAGCCCGTCTATAGTAGAGAAAAGGTTACTTTCTTTGATATCATGCATTTACGGTCTCCTTGCAGAGCTTAATCTAGCGTCATTTATAAATTGGCTAGTCCATCCCAAAGTAGCATGTCGTATCGTAAGTAATGAAAGATTAATTAGCTTGCCAGAAGCCGCACTTGCAAGGTGGCAGTGATGGCTAAGCCACAATAAGCGCTGATATAAGGCGAGATCGCAATGGACCTGGGTAACATAGTTGTAAGTTGCTTTTCCAGGATGCCTCAATATCACGCAAGACTTAATTCTACTGACATTTTTTCATTCTTCAAGATTCCTAAGTTAGGAACGCATTTCATTCGATAGCCTTTTGTTCGTCCTTTTGGGAACATATCCTGCGTAATGCCAGAGACAGAGGCAACCCTCCAACGCAGTGCTTATGTCACAAACGGCTATCAGGCACCGAATCGTTGTGAGATGTGCGATGTATCCTTGCCCGATGAAGTCTCCAGGAACGAACACATGCAGGAAACTCGGCACCGCTCCTGCCCTCTTTGCGACAAGTACGTCCCTGTAGGCGAATTCTACAATCACGCCTTCGACAAGCACCCGCATGAACGTTGGAACGAGCATCAAGTAGCTTGGACGGATAAGAGAGATAAGGAGAGCGCACAGTCTTGGGCTATGAAAGAAGTGAAGATCTAGCAATGGTTTCCGGACATAACTTTTGACAGAGGAAGCTATCTCGGTCAATGATCGCGACACAACAATTGGAAAATAGATTGATATTTATTCGTTTTTTATCAGAAAGGGGCTCTCATAGCCCATGCATCTCGAAGTTTGAGGGAAGATCCCAACAGAAGCAGGTCTATCAAACTCGCTCCGATTTGAGGGAACATTATAGTACCGGGGTTAGCATGCGATCTTCCAACATGAATATTAGGAAAACCTCCGAGGAGTGTTTGAAACTGAGCACAGAGCCGCAAATAAGTTTGTAAGATGAGGTTTATAAGGCTAGATCGGCATTTCCGTGGTACGCCGACTGTTGAATCTATTGTGCCGATAATAAGGCTTTTCCCTTAGCTTAAAGAGCAAGTTGCAATACATCGATAGCAGACAGGGGGCATAACTAGTTCACTTCACCTAAGTTTCGCAAGGACTTAGTTACCTAGACGTAGGTAACTAATATATTTTTTTGCCTGTAAGTTAATGAACTGTGAATCTAATGTTAAGTTAGTCATTGCCATAAAGTATTCAATGACACAGATGGCCTGGGCCTGGATGCTTATATCATATCAAATGGTTAGTGAGAGGGGAGAAGATGTTAAACCATGCTATTTGTCAGATCAGGTCGGGCAACCCTCAATGGTGCAAATTCGTCAGACTAAATAATTGTAGGAAAGCATATGCGCTTTCATTCTTTGTTCTGAGAGCTATTATGGCAAGGTAGTTATTAGTCGATAGGTAATGCTGTACCTCGAATATTGCCAGCCGATAACATGTCCGAGATATTCTGTGGTGTTTGGAACCTCTATGGATTATTTCTGTCGGTCAAATTTCTATTACTGAAACAAGATGGATAAATTACATCTACTAGTATGTTTCTATAATGAGAGCAGATGGCTTGCGAAGCCGGAGTTCCGGCATCAGTCCACGGAGCCCTATGTTATTGCTCTCCACGAATTCAATGCGGAGAGATAGATGACGCCTTACAGCAGCTGACCCTTAATGCAGGTCTATTGACCAATCGCCGAGTGTCGATTTGCTACACCTCATCCTCGGAGGGTATGGCGACATCTGGTAGCAACCTTGACCCCATTTAGATCGTCATCATCTTCACGCCGATTGGTACGATAACGTGGAGCGACCTCGCAAGACTATTTATGATGCCAGAATATTGTCTATCACGAAAGTTTCCGCGCGCATACTATCTATTTTAGCCGTTGGATTTGTCATCTATGGGTTGTCATGACAAGGAGAGATGGGCCAACGGCATGATATTGTCTCGTGCGGGGGAAGCCCCGAATACCACTATATAATAATACAATCCCTTCTCAAGGATCTAGCATATCTTGGATGTCCATCGATCAGCTAGACCCAGAATATCCTCGGAAAAACCAAAATGGCCCCAGCACCTATTGACGACAGCATCAAGGATGTGGCTGTCCCTAAGAAGGACACCCTCAACATCCCCGAGCCTGCACGAAAGAGGCTCGAAAAGGCAGGCGTAGACTTGTCTAAGGGATATCCTTATCGCCCTTCGCGTCCTATCTATCTTCAAGATGCTTTCAAGATCCGTGACATCCCGCGCGACCATGTTGATGCTGGTGCTCGCGCTGACAAGTCGAAGAAGAGTCTCCTGGAGGCCGCTACCAAAGTGACCGATCTCACAGCATACATTGGTACAGAGATCGAAGGTCTCCAGCTGAAAGATTTGACCAACCAGCAGCGGGATGAACTAGCTTTGCTCATTGCTGAGAGGAGCGTTGTCTTTTTCAGAGACCAGGACCTCACACCACAGCAGCAAAAGGAGCTTGGTGATTGGTATGGAGAAGTGGAAGTACACGTATGTAGTAGACAGTTTGACCTCTTCTCTTTTCATTTGCACATGCACTGACTGAAGCCATCTGTAGCCCCAAGTTCCCCAGGTACCGGGTGTGCTCGGCGCTACGGTTATTTGGCCTGATCTTCAGGCCACCGAGAGAGCAGCCAACTTCCGCAATCCAGGTGGTGCATCAAGGTGGCACACTGACCTGGTTCATGAACGTCAACCTGCAGGTATCACTCACCTCCACAATGACACCATCCCCTCTGTTGGCGGAGACACTCTCTGGGCCAGTGGCTACGCCGCGTATGAGAAGCTCTCTCCGGAATTCCGCAAGATCATCGATGGCAAGCAAGCCGTATACCGCTCTGCCCACACTTACTTGGACCGCGAGAACCCTGAAGCAGGGCCAAAGCACATTGAGAGAATCCATCCCATTGTCCGAGTCCACCCAGCCACTGGATGGAAGGCACTCTGGGTCAACAGAGCCATGACCGACAGAATTGTAGGACTTGACAAGGCAGAGAGTGATGTCATTTTGAATTACCTATATGATGTCTATGAGCAGAATGTCGATATCCAAGTACGCTGGCGATGGACACCGCGAACCTCGGTCTTGTGGGACAATCGGTATGGGCTTCCCCTTTTAATCTTCTGCATGGAGAAAATCGCTAACATTAATTCTTTCAGTATCACAATTCACAATGCTAGCTGGGACTACAGCGGGTCTGAGCCGCGACACGGAACTAGAGTTACCTCTTTGGCTGAGAAGCCATACTTTGACCCGTCGGCACCTACTCGTCGGGAAGCGCTTGGGCTGCTTGGCCAAAGCGAGATTGATGAGCTCAAGGCAGCGAGAGAGGGTTAAGTGTCATATTTAGGGTTACCTGAGAATAAGATCAACTGGCAAATTCTGTTTGAGCAGTGATGAAGAAAATCCCCAGTCTAAGGGGAAGTACTATGGAATAAGTGAAGCTTTCTCTGAGCTACGTAAGCCACGTCATTTTTCGCTTGCTATGAGGTTCTAATCAACCAGGATCTCAAAGCAAAGAAAATATGTTGAAATGATTGTAGCCCAATAAGACTGTACCTCTGAATGAAAATCACTCTAGACAGGCGCCCTGGGCGGTCTCCAATCAGATAAGTCTACAGCTAGATCAGCCTAAATCTACGACAAAGTCTCTCAACACTGAAAATTACGAGATAGGTATCCCTAATCTCGTTCATGGCGATGCAACGTAATGATCTATCTGGAAACCAACCACAAGTGTAATGGTAACCGGTGATGTAGTCATCAAAAGAACTTGCGTGAAATTAAACGGCGCCTCACAATAGACGTATATGAGGGTGCAAGGCGATGCCACCAACCAGAATCTAGGCCTCCCAGAGAATTGACTGAGTTTGAGGTTAAACTTTCTTGCCTGATAACTCGGCTTTTCGGTGCCGGTGAATATCTTCGATAGGCCGTACACACCTAGGCTAATCAATCACTATTCCTTTTCTAGATGAATTCATTAGCTAGCAAAATTGGAGCGTCAGAGTTTATATGAAAGGGTAGCACCCATCTGCAACCCCAACCATTCACAACCCCAAGGTTTCCATCACGCTCCTCACGAATGTATTTTCAAAATGATCAAACCAACTACAGCAATAGCCACCAATACAGACCCCCCGTCAACCCCGACACCACCCTCTCAGAACCTGACCTGGATTGCGGGGCCAATTTTAGGTGGTGTCCTTGGTATTGCCATAGCAGCCGGCTTGATATGGTGGTTTGGACGGGGAAAGAATCCAACCACCGTTCACCAGGTCTCCGGAGGCGATAACAGGCGAGCACCGGCCGTTTCAGAGTTACACAGCAAGCCTAGAAAAGCAATTCCAGAGTTGGAAATAAAGCCCACCCGCGCTGTCGGTGGCCAGGCTGGAGCTCACGAGCTCTCCGGGGAACAACATCAAAGAATACCAGAGCTGGAAGGCGGCCAACGGCCAGTAAAACTGCCGTCTAACGGGTTCCACTGGGATGAGAAGTAACTAGAAATTCAAAGAAGAATGAGATGTTGCATCAAGTCGCATAATGTTACATTCCTCTCTAATAACATCAGGCTAAAAGCTCCTGTTCTCGTCCAATCTCCATCGGTAACTAAAAATCAAGCACCGCAACCACATCTTACGAATTATCCACTTTCGCCGCCAGAAATTGCTATTCAAGTGTAAACATCCCTGAGTATGTTTATGACTTCAAGCCAAAAGTAATGATATCAGATCTGCGGACATTTCGATGGATAAAGACATTTACACCTTCAAAGATATTAGTATCGACAGATGATTAGGCCGGAACAGGCTAAACTACTCACGATCCTCCCAGTCCTGTACAATTTCCCCCGTTGGCCATGATGAATGATCCATCGAGACAAGATTTTTTCATATTCTGCAAAGAGGTCAGAAATAATTTGAGGATTTGATATGCCCAAGAAACAAGACCTTTTTGCACTGTGAATTTATTTGTTAGAGCCATCCATCGGTAACAGGTGATGCGGGAGACCAACATATTCAACGCACACAGTAACGTTTGAGCGACAATCTAGCGCTTTGATGCTTGGTACGATGCCAGAAGCGTCCGAAATTGAAGCCCCTTGAGCCAGTCCAGCCATCAGTATGGCTAACGAAACGATGCTGGTAGTAAGTTTCATTTTGCTGGCTTGTGCTGCATACGAAGCTTTTAGGTGCATTGTGAACGGATGTGGGCAGAGGGGTGTCATAATTATATGTCTGAAGGACACCCTGTCAAGTTCAAGTTTGCACAGCCAACTTCTGGAATGCTGTCAACGAATGTGGCGTTTCATTCTCAATGATCTGGTATTTTCTCAATCATGCCTTGCTGAGAAGTAAGACATTGCTTACTTTCAAGACCATCCACCTTCAACATTTCCATAACCAACTTTGTACGATGCATGTGCATTGTCCAAAATGGATATAAAGTGACTCTCGACAGCTTTTCATTGATAGGTAACATTAGCAGAGTAATGAGTGGCGGTATGGGCCAAATGCAACTCGAGGGTAAGGACTGGGTTCAACATGACCACAGTACTCTTCGAGGTAAAGGAATATTTCAGGTTTTAATGATTCGAAGATGCAAATTTAAGACTTCAATGTAAGAACAGAAGATATGAAATGTGTCATTAAGATAGGTATCGATCTATCATCGATAAATGCCTTGGAGAAAACGGCTCCATGCTAAAATCAATCCCAAGCGCCTGTTGCTTCAGAGCCCAGCAAACAATTGAAAGATGGTAAAACAAATTTCGAAATCAAACCAAATATGATCCATCCATGCTATCCGTAGCAATTCCATTTTTCTTCAGATGCAGAAACGCCTCGTAAATCCATCCATGATTCTCCATGCGAACAAACCTTGTCTAATAAGAAGGGCAGTCTCACCCTTCAACGAATATGAATAGGCGAACTGCTTGCGGTGTGCAAGTCATTGGTATAATCAGCTACTTTGCTAGCGACCCAATCGTGGTTTGTAAAGTCAATTTCGAACGAGTCTGAATCCTGGGAGTATCGAATTGTCGCATCTCTTTCCAATAGATATCCATGATTGATTGAGCCCGCCTCTACAATGTCTTCCACCTCTTCAATCTTGGCAAGTTGCATATCCAATGACCCGGTGGGAGTCGTAACGCCAGACACATCTCGGGATAATGCTTCTTGAGACGGTCTCTCGTCAAGGCTAGAGCTTGTAGTGGCATCATCATCCGACTCATGTAAGAATTGAACGATACTGGCATCGAAAGTGCGAGACAGCCGCTGCATCATGTTACCGAATGGAGACGTCTCAACCTCAACTTCGGCTCCCATAAAAAGCAAGAGACGCACAATTTCAACGTGGCCCCGTGATGCCGCAGCGCTTAGAGCTGTTCCATATCGCGGACTTGTCTGATCGATATCGCCGCCGTTTTGCAAGAGCAAACTCACGCATTGGTAGTGCCCATTCACGGCAGCCATCTGCAGCGGCGGGATTCCATCAAGGTCGGGGAGATTGATTCCTGCTTCCCGTTGGATAATGACTTCCAGAACTTCAACATGGCCAGCGGCGGCAGCGATATGCACCACACTTCCTTTTTCGCCGAGAGCGCGACCATCCAACTGCGCGCCTGCTTGAGCATATGACCTGAACGTGTGAGGGTCGTTCGCCTTGGCTGCTGCTACCAAGCCCTCCTGCAACTCATTCTTGCCATAGTCGGTCTTCGGATCCCACCCGGGAACGTACGCCTGTCTAGAAGAGCTCATGGATCTGCGCCATGTCGTGAGCCTGCTTAGGCGGGATCGCGAGCTTCGAAGTGATGCCTTTTTATGGCTTGTCGGAGGCGTTACTGAGGAAGCATTCAACACTGAAGGGACATCTGCTGTTTGGCGCACGGAGCAACCGTCTTTTCGTTGCCGCGACGTTTGGATGGCCTCCTGGAATAACTTTTTGACACCGGACGCGTTCTTTGCCGTTAGCTCGCAGAAGCCGATTCCAAGCTCTCGTGCCATTTTCCTCCCGTCGCCTATTGACACCTCTCGCCAACCTTCCAGATCGTTCTTGTTCCCGACAAGAATGACTGGCACCTGGGACTGACCCGGGCTGCCAGGACAACTGCGCCAGTAGTTCCAGTGAATCCAGCTATAGCATTCCACGGCAGCTTCGAACGAGGCTCTGGATGTGACGCTGTATACAATCAGAAAGGTGTCGGTGTACTTGAGGTTGTCGAGGATCTCATGTCGGCCATTTTCGTTCAAGTAGCGGATCGATTCCACCTCGACCAAACCCGTTTGGCCTCCCGCCGTCACAATTTTCCGGCACGGTACATGTCGAAACTCTTTCTTGATATGACCGAACACGCCATCCGAGTACTAATGAATGATGTTAGTGTCCCGCTATCCAAATCTGAGTTTGTGGGAGTGAAACAACCTGGTGACGAATCGAATTCTTGCCCACGCCGCGGGCACCCAACAAGACAATCCTGTCTTGGGGAGTGGACGGCCTTATCGCGTCCATGTCGGAGAAAGACATTACCATATAATTTGCTGTAGGAGTTTGCAATGTTGTTTATGAGGAAGATTTGAGCAACGTTCTCAAAGCAATAACCTATATTCACCGCAATACTAAGTGAAATGGTCCAGAAGAGCTGAGGTAGGAGGTCAATGTGGAGGGAGCAGAGGCGATGGCTGCAAGAAGTACGTTTCAGTAATAGAGGGTTTCAGGTAGCATCAAAGCTTTTCGACTGCGCTGCCACGTCGTATTCCCTTCCCGTCAATGTGAGAATTCAGCTTTTCGGTCTGGGCCAAGCCTCAAGCACCGGCCGGCAACAATGGTGCATTGCCTCAAGCTTGAGTAGGCTAAAATCATCACGGATCGACTGCCAGCACAAGCCAAGAGCCGCAGGTAGGCCGACAATCTCGACCAAGATCAAAGAGAAGCGTCGACGCTAATCCAGGAGTGGCGTCTTATTCGGCCCCTCCGGACAAAGAGTGCCCAAAAACATAGCGATTTACATCATTGTACTAATATTACCCGATCCCGATCTTCAGCCGTGACAAGGAAATAGAACTCTTGGCGATGTTCAGCAAGGGGTGGCAGATCCCACCCCTTGTCCTTGTCTCACCCGCCTTTGTTGGCTTCAAGCCAAGTAGGTAGGGAGTCGAAGGTGCTCCAAGCCAGCTGAGTTGATTTTGTAATACCGCCTTCTCTCGTATTCCCCTCCAATAACAAGCGCCCACAAAGCTGCCTCGACTACGTGGCTCGGTCAGAAGTGGCCCATCAACAACGACCGGACTCAGCTGGCCCATTTTGGCGTAAACTTTACGCCATCGCGCCAGATATTGTTTTTTTTTTTCTCGGCGCCCAAAGCAGAGCAGAAATAATGCCACGACTTAACACCTAATCCATGTCAAGAGGGTCCAGTCCGAATGGGTTTCTGCCTGTTTCAGATTCCGCTCACTCCTCGTGTTCTCATCATACCCACTTGCACTACTGTACGTCGGTCTCAGCTGTCTGCATCTGCATCCCAAATGAACTTCGAATGTCTTGGCTTGTTCTTTTTGTTCGCATCTAGCGCCAAAGTCGGTCAGTCTTAATAGGGAAGTGAACGCCAATTCACCATAAGAAACAATATCCCTTGCATAAAGTTTGTCGTACGTACAATCATTCTTTTTTTCGTCAGACGAGAGGCTTACATGCAATGCCGCACAAAGGGAGTCTGCGATCAATCAGTGTGTATTCTTCAGAGGCCAATAAATGACAAATATCGCTTCCATTTTCGGACCAGCTGAATGCATTTCAGCCCGGACACCGACTTCAGCTACGGAAAGTGGATAAGGGCTTTTTTTTCTCCACGCCCTTGCGTGGCAGCGGTGTTGCTTCCAGGCAAAGTTATTGGGCTCTAGTAGGTAGACACCCACTTGACAGCATCTCGGAAGAACAGGTACGGTGGCGAACGTTGGGGTTGAACGGTCGAGAGGAACCCACCGTGATGGCTTGACGGTGCTAATTCTAATTCCCCGGGCTGAGCTAGTTGCATTGACGAGGTACGACGTGAGGCACGTCTGTATCCATATTTAGCATCCCGCATATTACGACTTTGGGCTCTTTGTCCTTTCATGCGGCCACCGTATTTCGAGCTCGGACAATGCTGGGCGGGTGCATTCGCTTGGTGAAACCATTCTTAGGCCATGTCAATCCCTCCTAGGCAATATTGCGGTTTCTGCCATATTCGTTTGTCCCACTTGCTCGCAAGGTGGCCCATAACCGGAACTCACAATGGTAAGAAAGAACAAGCCGCGATGACTTTTCCATACAGAAAGACGGGTGGCTAACAGCTGTTACCACCGTGACTACGTTAGCAAGGTAAACATCTTAGCGTTTCTCTGCTTCTAAGCTTAGAAAAACTCACACCCAAGCCGAATAGCGTGTTCGGGACCTCGTGGCTCAGCAGCGCTCTATCAATAGTCAATCATTATACTATTGCTTTTCCATGACTCACTAAATAACCATACTCAAATAGGCTCTTCTTTTCGGTCCGTGGATTAATGTATTTCAACCTCACGAAAAGTCTTCCCCCCATTGATGCTATATGCTCAAGTGTTTGATGGTTGACCTGGTCATTCTGAATTGGATTACCCTACACCACATTACTATTACTTTACAAACGCCAGATTTAATAAGATGTTCTCTTGGAAAATCATTAAATGGGGCCTCAAGTTAAATATTTAAGACCTTAAGGCTAATAAATTAATTTATCCAATCATATATTTTACATCTCCCGTTATCTCACTAAACATTTAGAGATAGCCCTTCATGGTGCAAGTGAATGAAGTTATACCAAACGCACAAGCTACCTTCAAGATATGACTTGGTTCAAGACTTCAACGCTGTAGGCTTTTGCGTTTGAGCATAGCTTGTTTATATCATGAATGTGAGGAGATGATTTGTCAATAGTTCCCACTAGTCGTGTTCCGAATTGGACATGAGATTTGTCCTGAAAGAATGAATATACAAGACTGAGATTCACGGTAAACCCTCCCCAAACTCCCATGGTAGCGCTTGTGGCAAATAATCCATTGGATAATCAGGGTCACTGCACTGCCCTTCCTGACATACACCTCTGCCGCAAAAGTCTGGCCCATTCCCGCATTTCCCTTCAAGATTGCAGCAGTCTCCCCATTTTCCGCATGTGCGGAATGTATGCCTGCCATCTACTCGTCCGCATATTCCATCAGTTGACTCGACAGTACGGACTTGACAAGCTCCAGCGTCTTTGTAACAGAGGCTAGGCGTACAGTGACGTCTTTAGAGAAGTGATCATTAGCCGGCATAATGTTGTAAAGCTTTGGGTTGTTTTGACTTACCCGCTATTGCCACAAGTCCATGTCTCCCTGCTGCAGCATTCTTTACCTGTATAAAGACAGGTAGCATTGTTGAAAAAGGGACCGCAAAATCCGTCATAGGCTCTCAGAGGCTCAATGACTATTAATCGAGTTAGCAGTTGGGGGGTTAGTCAGGGAAATGGGCACATGCATCCAGTCACGCAATACTCAGTATTGGGCTTGATCCTGCTACAGTCTGCCTCAAGTATAGGATTCAACTCATAGAATTTGCCAATATCTATGCCATATCGATCTGCTAGGACTTGACAAGTCGAAGTATCTACCTCATCGTATGTCCTACCCTCATATCGACAGTTGACGTCTCCCGCCTCAAGTGTTTTCCTCCGAGGAACGGCAGGCGTTGCTCTAGGAGGACCTAGACGTGACGATCCAGCGGGGGTAGGTTGTGAAGGATTCTCCCATGTGTGTGGCATACACCCACCGGTGCCACTTTCACTAGCGATAACAAAATGAGCGAGAAGTGTGAGTAAGAAACCCGCAATCGCGATGCCGTAGAGTCCCATCATGAGGGTATACTACACGGGTCACAGTCCGCGACAGCGATAACAAAATCCTAAATAATAAGAATGGTAAAACACTTTGGAAGTCGGAGATCGCATTGACGAATAAGAAATAGGATTGATACAAAATTTCTATGCTTCGACCCATGTGAATCCTACGCCCCTCAATAGCTAATAGCCCATGTTATTTCCAACCCAACCACCCTAATTTCAAGCCTACACATTGGTTCGCCAATTTACGATAACAATACTCCGGAAATGCGGCAGAAAAAGGAAACCACAAAGACATGGATGATCAAGGACCCATGCGCTGTCCCTGGTAAGCAAGAGGGACATTCTCCATCTCATGAGAGTCGTTTGCTCGCCCGGGGACGCGGTCGGTAAAGAACTGCCGTACAGCAAATACAGCGGCCTTCAGCTCGTCAATAGGACTGAGCATATACATCCATGCATAAATCCCCAGAGGGCCACCCTGGTAAGGCTTGCTGTAATGGATGGAATTCTGGGAATCCGGCGAGGCCCTGCCGCTTGAATTGTCGACGAGATAGACGCTCCATGGATAGGCGGTGAGAAAGAAGATGGAGAGCGGGATCATCTCAATAGACACAATGAGATTAGGAATGCCGATATTCACATCGGCGAAAGTGAGCGTGTCGGTTTCCTTCAGTGCATTCGTGCTGGTGAGGATGTAGAAGATAAGCTAGAACATCAGTGTCAGAATTGTGCCTCATGAGTTGCGAGCAGTTGGACGACGTACTGTCTGGATGAAAGTCAAGCCAACGACTGCCTTGAATGCGAATAGTTTTGCAAGAGGGCGGTGACGGGCGAGATCAACCTTGGTGGCGCCATAAACCTGAAGAATAGATACCATCGCCATCACCAGAGAAACTGCCCCTATTATGCGGATCCAGAAACTGAGGGATCCAGGCGTTCTTCGCCATTCGCAAAAAGCCCCTGTAGCTGCGGTAATGTTTGTGATGATCGCCAGAATCAATGCAATAATGGGGAATTGAAAGATCTGAAGCCATCGAAGCTGTTGATTGAGTTAGCCGGAGATCCCTTAGAGTGAAGAATGATAGAAGCAGGCCATCTCACCTTGAACCATCTGATGCCGCATTTCGGTTTTGTCGCGAAGTATACCTCGCGCTGCTCCTGACTGGGAGAGATGTAGTCGCAAAGAAGAAGGAAGAAGCATCCCAGGGCTGATCCCTCGATCACATCCAGCCAGGGATGCATGTACACTGCAGCGCCCGGAAAGGCCACAGAGAAGAAAGATACCAAGGCGTACGTAGTGATTAGACCACCTATCTTCATGATCCTATTCGCCTCTGTTAGTACAAGTGACGTATGGTGCGCAAGGGTGAAGCGTACTTGATTTGTTCTGTTGGATTGGAAAGATGGATCGCATGCATTTGTGTGAAGAAAACCATGACAAGGAGTGTAATCCCACAACAGGCTCCTGATAAAATCATGCTGAACTCGTGGAAAGAGAAATTTCCCACGAAACTAGCTCGAGGATCTGCTTTTGGTTTAGTTAAACAAAAGGGAAGGCAGTTGGAGTTGGGTCAAGCTGTACCTTCAGTAAGATCATGATGGGGACAAGTCCCATCATTGCTATCCCTCGACATATGGTTCCCCATCGTATGAGAATCTTCGATAAAGAAACGAGATAAGTTTTGCAGAGGTTTGTTTTTGCCGCAGGAGTTTCAGTCGATTGAATAGAGACTGCGAATGGTTGTGAGCTTGTCGTAGTGATGCATATTGTAATCCTCTCCAGGGACTTCCCATGTTTTATATGATATCAAGAGAAGAGATCCATGGCTGTCTTCCTTGAGTTTTTGGACCTTCAGAGGGCTGAATTGACGATCACTCAGCCCAACCAGGGTGACACTGCCATCGGTAAAACGTGCACAGCCCTGAATTGAGATGAGATGCCGACGTCTCCACTGAAGGTGCCAATGGGCGTCAGCAACCAGGGTCGGATTGTTGGAGCGTGATTCTGTTTGGGGGAAAAGATCAGAGCCAGGCCCGCTAAGCAATCGGTGAACGGAGGTTGTGCTCGCCGATGCCGTGGGAACTCGAAACGAAATTCAGGGGTTTACCGCCCATCTCCTCTCCAGACTCGTCATCGTGGACGAATCTTGGTAAATAAGACTGGATGTCCTGTTCCTGCAAAGGCCAATGACATTACGCAGTATGCCTAGAGACAGGCAGCAGTCACTAAATTTAGCTGCCACTTCAGACAAAAAAGATTCCAATTTCAACATGGGCCTGGACACCGCTCATTCCAGCTTGGCACTCAGGGTTGATCGTACCGGACTCCGGAGCCAGGTCCGTGGCCCGGAGATGTGATATCCGGGACCAGCACCATCGGCATCTGTAGGAACAGTTCTTACGGCATCAATATTTTCCACATTCGTTCACTCTCGATGTGATCCATCCGGAGAGGGTCGCCCGTTTTTCAAAGCACTGATATGCACAGACGGAGAGAAAGTAGTAAGCATACGCGTGCCATATTGAAATAACCCTCCCAATCATTTTTCTATCAGTAGCCCTCCTTTCTATCTACCTTGTTTGTGAGCTCTTCTCCCCTCGACAACCGACCAAGGTTCAGCTCGAGAATCTTCAGCACTCGTTCATAGTACGCCGTCGATGCGCCGCTTGCATGGGGAGTGATGATGACATTCTTGGCCTTCCACAGAGGGTGACCTGTCGGAAGCGGCTCCGGATCAGTCACATCCAGCGCCGCGCCGCGAATCGTGCCCGCGTCCAGAGCCTCAATCAGGTCGTCCGTCTTGACGATCGGCCCACGCGCAATGTTGGAAACGAATGTACGGCGCCCCGCGAGAGCCTGGAATTCAGCCCGTCCCAGCAGATGATGAGTCTTGGGTGTCAACGGCACGGAAATGACGAGCAGGTCCAGGCCGGATGAGAGGAAGGTGTGGAGGTCGCCGGAGAACCATTTGCTGGGGAAGATTCCCTCTGGATCGCCCAGGCCCTCTGGCGTGTAGGACTCATCCCGGCGCGACTCTGGAGTGTTGCGCGGGTGGTTTGTGAAGGCGTGGATGTTCATACCGAGAGCCTTGGCGACGCGAGCGACCTGGCGGCCGATGCTTCCATACCCAAGGATTCCGCTGTTGGTAAATGTTAGAACATAATCTTGCATAGGAGGCGATTTGAGTATCGTCTTGAATGGTGAGACTTACACTGTTCGCCCTACGGCATCTTCAGTCTCTTCTTCGTCAGCCCTGCTCCATTTCTCCTCGCGCTGCTGTTCAAGGTAGCGAGGAACTACCGGCGATTGAGTTAGCACGCAGATTTCCCTCTGGCTCACCATGTGGACGACTCACTTTGATGCTGGTGTGCCAAAAAGGTTGAGATGACCCATTCGGCAATCTGAGGACTGGTAGGCGAGGCTGTTAGCGAAAATGGTCTTCTGCCTGTCCCAAATCATATGATTCAGGATGAATTAATGAGAATGCTCAAGAACTTACCCGTGCACACCGTTCGCTGTGCAGAGGGCGACATCCGTCTCTTGGAACAGAGGCTTGTTCACGACGTGGTTCGCTCCGGCGCTGAAGAGCTGCACGTACTGCAGTTTGGGCACGGCTTCCGGATCAGGGATCATGGAGCCCGTGACCAGAATTGTCACGTTCTTCCATTCTTCCCGGGAAATGTCCTGGTAAGGGTCGGTGTCGAAGAACTGCTTGTGATAGACGGCAATTTCGAGGCCTGGGAATTTGGCCTTGAGATGCGCTACAGCCTCGGGCGGAGTTGGTCGAGGGGCGTATAGAACGAGCTTGTGGCCCTTCAGGTCCGATCCGGAGGGCAGCTTAATGAGAGTCATGGCTCGCTGGTATTCCAATTGGCATCTAACTGTATGAACTGAGGTCTGTTCTCTCTTGTCTGTTGTTGTAGATGGTTATGTTCTTCCAGGGGAACCTCGGGCGGGATTTGTAATTGAAGGGCTTATCGGCCGGGCTGCGTGAGGGGCCACAGAGTCTTATCAGCGGCACAGTTCCATAATTGGCTGGATGGTGCCATTCAAGCCTTGATTGACGCGGTTGAGATGATGCGAGATCGGGGTGGAGATCTTTGGAAAGTCGCTCCGAACTGGGCGCCAATGGCAAGTAGCGTCTATAACTTGGTTCATTACTTCTTTCTTCTACTGACTATCGACTATTATTACATTAAGAACACTGATTGTGTGATGTGAGACCCCACGTGCGTTTGCTGTAGCCCTAGACGCAGTTCTTATAGCTTCTTCGCCTTGGTATAGGGGCTGTTTTCGAGCCAAGTGCCCAAGTCCTTCAATCCAGGATGTTGCTTCTTAAGCTCTTTTATATTCGCTCCGTATCCTTCTCGCTCGAAGAATGCAAACATGGTGCCCATCTCCTTGGACAGCCATAACAACAGCCTAGCAATGAATCCAAACGTTGTTGGTGGTGCCGCTCCGGTCTTCTTGTTGAAGACTTCCTCAAGCTGACTGTAGGTCAACTCGTCACCGGCCAAGGCGATGGATTTACCGCTGAACTCGTTGGGGCTGAGAAACGACTGTGCGGCAAATTCACCAATGTCCTCGGTAGCAATGAGCTGGAGAGGGCGACTCTTGACATTGTCTCTCCACGCCGTTGCAAAGATCTTTCCTACAAATCCCACTTGGAAGTTCTCCATAAACGCCACAGGTCTCAGAATCGTCCAGGACATTGGTGTGTTTTTGGCCTTGTTGATGAGATGGTGCTCAATGTTGTGCTTGCTGATGAAATGGGGGACGTCAGTAGGATTGTTAATTGAGCGCTCGCCACTGCGGTCGACAGACGAGTACACGAAGTGTTCGACGCCGTGCTTCAGAGCAGAGTCGACCAGGGACTTTCCCTGCACCTCCTCGACCTTGGCACCGTTTTGGTTCATCGCGGGCAGCTGCAAGTATCGCATGTTAGACTAGAACATCGCTGCAAGTGAACCAGTATTTATAGCCGCCTACCTGAACACTAAATACTCCCCAGATGGGAGTCTTGGCGATTTTGTTCGCATTTTGAAAAATCCCCTCCGTATCGTCGAGATTGCCTTGAACAAGAGAGATATTGGGGGATTTGGCGGCCAATCTTTTGGCTCCGGCTGACTCGGTATCCCTTGTAACAGCCAAGATTTTAAAGTCGGCTCTTTTAGCTAGAAGGGCCTGTACCACGCTTCCGCCCTGTTTTCCAGTGGCTCCTAGGACAAGTAGAGCACGAGACATGTTTGTGTGCTGGTCGATGAACTGTGTTGTTGCTGTGATGATGCAAATATTATTTGGTAACAGCGAGAACATCTACTAGGCGGTTCATCTAGGATCTTTATACTCATCATGTTCTATTCTACATTCTGTCCGTCTTTTAATTCTCCAGCTTAATAAAATCAACGAGCCCATTTTGCGGATTACCAAGCCAAACTGCCGGCCTCCGGGCATGGGTGGGAGCCAATCAGAATCATTTCGGTGACCGAGATCAGCCGCGTGGAGACACTTCGCTCAATCTCGCTGTCCCGTGCTGGAGCAACCGGTTTTCGTTACATTTTCTACAAAAGCTCTAACTGAGTATGAAATATGGATGCATCATTGGAAGGGAAAATTCAGTGCCTAGTAAGAGTTGAAGCTTTGCAGATTGATCGCAAGCTTCCATGCGCTACTTCGTTGCCATTTGAACAAATTAATGTCTCTTTCGCCAATCTTAATGGCAGAGCATGTTTTGATTGAGAAGGGTATATAGTGTCTGCAAAGGCTCGAAAGCAAGATATCTCGCTGCGTGCTTTTTCTCTCTGCGACTCAAACCACAACAACAAAGGTCCAAGCTAGGCCTATCAGTACGCCCACTTGGGTATGATCGGGTATTTCTTACTCCGGTGATACCCAGACTTCACTCTTTCTCGGGCCGAACCAAGATCTCCGGGGCGAGAGCAAGAGTTTGAAGATGCAGGAGTGGAATGGTATACCCGCTTTTCCAGGGTGGAAGGATAGCTGATACTTGTGATAGTGAAATTTCACTATACACCAAGTATCTAAGTAGAGTCAGTATGGTGTGCTGCTCCAACTGAGAAAGGATCCTTACATGTTGTGTCGCTACTTGGATGCGCCGAGGGCAGTTGAAGATAGGCAGGTTGAACGACCACAAAACGACAGCCAGGTGATTACCAGTGTAGCTTCAATAAATTTCGAAGCTCGAACCAAGTGAGCCTGCCATAATTCGGTTCCAGTTCAGCTAGAGGCGTGGCAGAATCCTAGCCGTGTGATGTGAAACCTGTGTGTCGGCCTGTCAAGGGACGCCAAACGTCGGATACCAGTAACCTCTTCCTCGAAACCTGTCGGTTCCATGCTCTGACCCAATTATTTGTAACCTGATATGGGCAGCCGTGATCATGATCCGGGAATCAAATCTTGATTATCATTTTGGTGGTTTCCCAGCCGAGAAATAGTCCTCAGGCGGAGTGCAGGATTCCACATCTGGGAGAGCCCTCGGCTTGAGGGGAGAAGGTCGAGGAGCAATCGAAGGGCTTATTTGTTGTTGGAATAAAACCGGCTGCATCACTGAAGAATGGCGCCTTGTCGATAAGTCGAATCCTTGACCAGGGCTTCTTACACTTGACAGATGGGATGACGACCAGCTGTAACCACGTCCTTCCCTCTTGACTAGATTGCGGAGCTGGTTCAGTACCGGGAATTCCAGCTTTAGCTTGACACTATACACGGCGCTCTTGTATGTCGTCTGGATGTCATGCAAGCCACCTAGCTCAGTGCCGATTATGCTCAGATCCATCAAGATGACCAAGATGTTGACATAGATAAGGTGCCTCATCACACGGCGAGGGGCTTCGCTCATCCCAGGTTCCATGACTCGCAGCATCTTCCGGGTTTCCCACAGGTAGATTCCAGAGATGGTAATTTCCTGCGCTGCGAACCCAAAGAGCATGACTTTCTCGTAGACCTTGAAGGGTCCAATGTAGGGAGCCGGGTTGGAAGAGTTGGAACCGTAGTTGAGAATCGTAGGGGGGACGGTAAATAGGAAGAAGCTTGAAATAATCATGATGAGAACCCATCGGATCTTCCTCCTGTCATAAACAATCAAATGAAGCCGAGAATAGAGCACGACCGATTGCCCTATTACCATCGGCACGCCCCCAAGGGTAATGATGGTGATATTGACGTAGTCGTTTGTACAGAGCTGGAAGAACTGAAGCAAGAACCCAACGGAATGAAGGACGATCCCCCATGAGGAGATAAGCAAGCTCCAGAAATAGAGGCCCTTCCATTTCAGGAACGTGAAGAAAACTTGGATGTTGATCTCGAGCACATTGTACAGTGATATCGCAAAGAAACCAGCTATTACCATCGCGTTGGCAATCGTAACAACGATTCCGCCGCTGTAGCCATCGTCGGCCATTTCTTTGCTCGGTCGTGTGACTGAAATGTGCGCATACGTCACCGGAACTCACATTTGTGTGTTCCTCTCCGCGCTCGTCGTCGGCTTGGGGCAGGTTCGTATGCGTATCTATCGCTTGGCCAGAGTGTAGCTATTGATGTTCAGCAGCTTCTAGAGGTTCGATGCCCGGTCGCAGGTTGTGTCTGTGCTTGTCTTCTGGACAAATTCCTTGGTTCCCCGAGGATCCGAGCTCCTGGGATAATGGTCGTCATCATAGCTGGGTGACAGAGTGTTTGCGGGGAAACCTCATCACACCAGGAAGCCTCTATCACACTACGCAACCGTTCCAACGGTTCTAGATCAGCCGCCACATACCGTTGGGCGACGCGCGAGTCGCATCTAAGCAGTCATTTCAGCGAGCTAGTTGAAGCCACCCACGACATTATTGGCTCAGCAGAGTGGTGGCTGCTGAGTTCGTACTTGGGTGTGATTGGGCAGAGGCCGGTCCTGCTCTTTTAAGTAGAGGCTGTTCCCTCGACGCTGAGCAAGTAACATCAACAAGGACTAGATTAGTTTAACTTAGGCGGTAATGTATGTCCAACCCACGTGCGGTCTCCTGTATAGGATGCAGCCTGCTCGAAACTCTATGTTCCTTCTTTTCTTTTCTGCTTCCATGTCTTCCTCCTTGATCGGCATGCGAATTGGACACCTTCTCACATTTCAAGTTCAAACATAAGAATATACATGGAGAATTTCCTTACTGAGAGTTCCTCCTAAAATTCAAACAAAAACCTCTCTTCATCTCACCGTGTCTTTCGGCACACCACCCTATTTAGCTAACCCCAAACCCCAACAAAGCAGGTTTACGCAGTAGCGCTCCCACTACCTGTAAGTGTGTCTCAAATTACGAGATACGATCCACTATTTCAAGGATGGGCCGGCCCCTGTTCCCGATCTTACAATACAGAATTCCAATGACGCCTACCCAGGGAGGTGAAGAAGCTTCCATTTAATCTAAGATATCGTAGGTCAGATTTTGTGGAGAGACTCCAGTAAGCGTACCATTGTAATCCATCGCTTTCGGGTCCGGTTTCTGTAGCGGCTCGAGGACGGCCGTCGTGAAATTCAGAGTCGTTGCTGCCGTCACCATAAAACGGCAGCCCATTATATGGCTTAGGAACAGTAGCAGCAGCACGAGCTCGAGCAAAAATGTATATGGGCACACTTGCCAAGATCGGCGATTTCTGCCTCATTCGGGACCCATTAACATTGTGAATGTTTCTGATATCTACAACCAGGTTAGAGCCAGATGGATATGAACGGTCGCAATAGTATGCTCATTTTTTTATTTTGGACATAAGCCACATATTTTTTTATAAGTTATGCAAGTATTATGTCTTTGGATAATTTTCTCGTTCATGGCCCCCTTTGAGTTACTTGACGGGGTATAAAACCCCATCCCTTAGCCCAAAGTTCGTAAACGACGCCCACATTTGTAGCTTCGCATGAGAAATGAGATTTCATTGCTCATCGCATACATTATTGAATGCCGTTAGTAAGCGGGATTCAATCTTGATTTCGTATTAGTCTCGGGATCTCGGGATGCGGAAGTCTCATTCGTTCCGCTGATCTGTGGGGGTAACCAAACGGATATTCATACAGAGCCCCATCTGCAAATCTCGGAGTGTTAATAGAGATCACTCTCTTCTTATGAAACTGAATAATAGCCAATCAATGATTGGAAAAGCGAGAGCCCACATAATGCGGAGTTGACCTCTATTTGCTCAACCTCCCCGTGCTGCACATAGTATGTCACTGACGCTTGTCTCCGTCGTTATGCATTCTGTCCGGACTTCTCATGAAGAAGCGAAGAGCGAGCTCGGGACGATCATCGCCTCTGTAGGAGGGATAGAACTGGCTCATTATAGAAAGATGTAATGATTTAATGGTGGACGACCAAATCTCTATAAATGCATGTTCCTCGCGGTGAGATTTGTCACATTCGCAGCCAGCCTTCGACGTAAGAACAGTCAGAAAGTCTAGAAATACTCAAACATGCAAATTATTCTCCTTCTTGGTCTAGTGGGTGTAGCGTATGCTGTCTACTTGGTTACTAGCATTCTGTTTGCCCCTCTGCGAAATGTCCCTGGGCCCTTTTTGGCACGATTTACAAATGTCTGGTACTTGTTCCAAGTCCACAGGGGCCACGTGGAAAGAAAGAATTGCGAGCTTCACGAAACTTACGGTATGTATAGCCTGCTTAAAGTCCATGCATGGAACAGGACAGTGACTAGGTGTCAACAGGCCCTGTTGTCCGATATGGACCTAAGAGATACAGCTTCAACAGCCCCGAAGCCATCAAAACTATATATGGTCACAGCACCCAGTTTGCCAAATCATCATTTTACGACGCTTTCATGGTCCCAGGTGTATGGAATTTGTTTACGGAGCGAAGTATCAAATTTCATGCTTCTCTTCGCAGGGAGTTTCAAGCCACTTACTCTATGTCCAACCTGGTGAATTTTGAGCCATACGTCGACCAGTGTGCGAGGTTGTTTGACCAACGCCTACACGAAGTGTCTGCAGCCGGTGTTCCCATCGATATAGGACATTGGATGCAATGCTACGCCCTTGATGTCATCTCTCAGATCACCTTTGCTGAGCGCCTTGGAACCCTGGATAGCGGGAACGACATTGGCGGTGTGATGAAGTCCCTCGAAGATTCCTTCTACTATGGGGCCACAGTCGGCATCTACGGCTACATTCATCCTTATTTATTTGCCGCCATTAGCTTCCTAGAGCGGCTCACTATGCGTGGAAACGGGCAAGGGTTCTGGTACGTTTTGCAACTTGCCCAGGAAAAGATTAATGCGTACAAGGCCAAGCCTGCCGCTATCTACGAAAAGACCGACGACGGCAGCGAGGAGTTCGTCTCCAAATTCATGAAACAGAATGCATCCAACCCGGAGAGATTCACCACAGACCATATCCTCACTGGTTGTTCCATGAACATAGGTGCCGGTTCCGATACTACAGGAATCAGTTTATCAGCAGTGCTCTACTATCTTCTCAAGAACCCAGGGTGCATGGAAAAGCTACGAGAGGAGATAATTGCGTTTGGCAAAGACGGGAAGCTCTCTGAGTCTCCCACCTACAAGCAGAGTCAAGACATGCCGTACCTACAGGCCGTCCTCAAGGAAGCGTTACGACTGCATCCTGCTGTTGGGCAACCACTCGAACGAATCGTGCCAGAAGGTGGTGCGACTATTGCTGGGAAATACTTCGCTCAGGGGGTAGGTAACATAACATCATCTTTTGCTTCTTTATTTTCTAACATCAATTCAACAGACTATCGTCGGCGTCAATTGCTGGGCGGCACACCGAAATAAAGCTGTCTGGGGCGAGGATGCTGATGAGTTCAAGCCCGACAGATGGCTCACAGCGGATACCGATAAACTGTCTGCGATGAACCGAAGTTGGATTCCGGTATGTATTTCTTGGGTGTATTTTAATCGCGTTCAATGGCTGACGGTTGTTTCTAGTTTGGTGTTGGCTCGAGGACTTGTATTGGAAGGCATATCTCCATGTTGGAAATGTGCAAACTTGTGCCTCGCATCCTCCGGGACTTCGATTTCGAGCTGGCCGATGGTCTACAGGGTGATTGGAAAACTACGGCCTACTGGTTCGTGAAACCTTCCAACTTCAGGGTCAGAGTCAGAACCCGTTCGACAGTTCCATAAGTGCGAAGTAAAGCATAGTGCCATATTGAACTGGCAGACGGGAGGTTGTATTGCGGCAATCGCCTATCATAGCAGAAACAGATAAGAATAGTACTCAATATAAAAGATTCTACCAAATTGGTAGTGATGAGGTGCAGATATTGGCTTCGCTGACCTGTATCCTGCCGTATCAGAAATTCGGCGAAAGCCTCCTACAGAATAGATGTCTTCATTGTCTTGAGATCCACCACTGCCGCCAATTTTCCTTGGTTCCGTCCGTTGTCCCCATCATCAACTTCCCTAGAGGCCATCATCTCCAACACCATGGTCCCATCCTGGCCGCCTATGCCGGTTCCAAGCACCTTCCACGCAAACATTCTGAGCTCCATGTGAAAAAACGGCGTCCCATAGTGTTCAATAATATCGCTCTTTTCAACTGCGCGGCATAGATTCTGCCACTGCGATGGGTCCATTCCAAGTCTCTCGCAGCAGGCCCTTTTCTCGGCATTCCACCATGAGGGGAGCAGACCGGCATGTGAAGCAACGCGGTCGACAAACCGGCGGAAACCCTTCAGGCTACTTGCAGACCCGGCGTAGACACTATCATTGTCGATGTTCCCATCCATTGTGTAATCGTCCTCGACTCGTAGGCGATATGCATCGATGAGCAGTCGATAAACATCAGTCTCGGGGCGATCGTGAAGCCAGGTGCCGTTGCCGATTTTCGTGAAGGGCTTTGTGACGGATTTCTCCAACCCTTTAAGCGGAGATGCTTGACCACCATGGTTTGAGGGGGAAGAGGAAGAAGAGCCCGCCGACTCTTTCCCACAAACTTTGCGGTGATTCTTCCAATCGGCCTTTTGGCACTCTCGAGAGCAGTAGGGTGTTGAGGAGCACTTTGCGCAGCGCTTAATGGTAACCTCGGGCGCTGTCTTCCTGCAAGTCACACATGCGGGAGCCATTGTTGCTAGTTAGATGTTGGCTCTTCAACTAGCGGAAAGCTCGACGGGGTTGTTTCAACCAAATTTGAAATGAAAATTGTGATAAACAACTTGAAAGGGGGGAAACGGATTCTCCGGGTTTCATGCATGGGTGAGAATGTCATCACGTGTAACGCCACTGAAAAAAGAAAACATGATTGTTAAAGAATACCTTGATTATATCGCGTAAGCCTGATAGGAATCGGTAGCGTTATATCAGGTATATCATAAAGAAAATCCTGCGCCCAAACATCCTGGCATATAGGTTTTAGCCAACCATATTGCAACAAATAATAGGATGCCGAAAAACAGTGCAGCTACCACGTGTAATTTTTTTCACCTCTGGTGATAATGTGACAAGCTGGCCATTGCCCGACCTTCTTCTTCCTGTTCCATCTGTTCCAAAACCGGACCGCCTTCTGCGTCATCTGCATTTCTTTTGGCTTTGGCCACCATCCGCCTATAGGCATTCGGTCGAAGATGGTAATAAAACTCGTGTTGGCTCTCACTGAACTGGCGTTGTACACCAACGTCCAATCCCAGTGATACGCGTAGGCCTGAATGACTGTGTCCGACGTGACCCAATCGAGTTCAAAGCGTTCGGCAAGAGCAATAGTCTGAGTAAACACCTCGAGCCTAGCCGTCCACTCGGGGGACAGACTGGCATGCTTGAAGAAGTAGGTCCTTCCATGTTTCCAAGATGGGTCCAGGCTATAGGTGCTTGCCCTTGCCGTCTCATTTAAGACAACTCTTCCAGCTCCAGGTAGCAAGTCTAAGCGTGCAATATGAAAGCCATTACGCATCAAGTTGGGAACATTCCTCGCAACGACGAGAAGCTCAGCTCGCCAATGAGGGTGAGCCTTCTCCCTTCTAAATATGCGTCGCCACAGGTTGTCGCCTTTGTCGCCTTCGTGGTAGATCTTAGGCGTGCAACAAAAGACCAAGTTGTGGTACTTGTGGTCGCGCCAGCTTCGAGGCGCCCGCAAGTCCCAAGCGCGCTCAGCAGCGGTAGCTTCATCATCGGATACTTGAAGGCAGGAATATGGAGGTGGGTTGACTTCCCCAGAGTCGTCGCTGGGTCGAGGAGGTGTCATCATGCTCATCATGTTGGGGAGGATGAATTCAGCAAGTAATGAAATCTCAAAGCGTCTTTAACCGGGCGATCTCCATGTATTTTGTTACTTAGAAGATAAAGTCATAATGTCGAGTATAGTAGGCGAAATGTTGAGGGCTCGTGGATTCTAAATAAGATTCCGTATTCAGTCGATGGGGTGGATAGTTTGTGGCTATAGGGATACTTTCGCCTCAGATGACCTGGAGAAACTCTCAAGGTCCTTCGGGCACCAAATGGCGTAAATTAAGACGGCCTGCAATGCCGCCTTGAACCTTGCTTAGCTCCAAGCTGCTGAACGTTGTGCACGATCCAAATTTGGATTTCAGAAAGGGTCGTAGAGTTTGGTTGAACCTGTAATACAGTACGAGTCATTAGATTGAGCAAGCACATAGGTTCAACTTCTAGTCCATCAGCGAAGTCAAAATCCTATTAAATTTCACCAGTTTTATTTTTCGTTGTGGAATTTATCCAAAATGGGATAGGGACATGGATTCTTTTGAGGCTTAAGGTCGGAAAGGGAGCTCAAAATAAGCAATATGATAGGTTCTATGACGAAGAGTTTAATTTCTAGTTGGGTGTGTGGTTTTCAAGGTCAATTACAAGTATTGATGGAACCAAGAGCAATGCGTTTTGCTCATCTCGTAATGCTATGATAAAGGCACGATATCATTTCCAATAAACCACGCTGGACTATGCCATGTTATGCCAACATCCTCTCATGACTTGTAATAAAACCATGGGTTTGAAATCCATATGGCTGATCTTATGTATCCGTAGCACGTTTTGTATCACCGATACCTATGACAACTGGCTCGATATGGGGCACTTAATTACCAATAGGTTGAAGAGGTTATGGCAAAACTCGGGAGCGCCAACGGTACTGAGACTGGAATTCCAAATAATTCAGGAGTAGATCGTGATCAGACAAGACTCGCCACTTAATTGATGAGCATACATTAGGAACATAAGATATATTCCATCATTGTTACATGCATAAGCCGCACAATAGACCCAGACGATAGAACTCGAAAATGGATAAGATCGGTTCGTGATACATAATCGTTATCAGACTTCTCATCCAACCATCCTCAAATTTGAAATTCCCATAAATTCGAAGCTGCTTGAATGACCCGACTTTCACAGATCAAGGGGGCGTACGCCATTTCAAGGACGTGCCCACGACCCAACAGGCCAGGTTATGCAGGAGTAAACTTGTTTTTCTCAAGGTACTCAGCAATATTTGGCCGGTTATTGATTGTCTCAATAAGCTGAACAAGCTCATCTGGAAGTTTAGACTAGGATAGAGTCAGCAAGAACCCGGTCATCTATCTCTGTCAATCAACTTACAGGTAGGGGGATGGATCCAATCCTCATATCATTGTCGATTGACTGGTAGACTGCAAAGTCAACGTATGTGATTTTGTCTCCCAGAAGATAAGGGCCCTTATTTTGAGAATAATATTGACCAATCTGGGCGTAGTAATTCGGGAGAAACTCATTTTTGTACTCGTTCGTTACTCCCTTCAACGCAGCAACCCACTTTGCCTGTGAAACGGTCAGCAACAATTATCAGGCATATCAAACTGAATGTTCCATACCCGCCAGTCAATGTAGATATCTGCCACAGCATCCACGAGATATTTCTCTTGGCTTGTTTCACCGTCATAACCGCCAAATTCCCGCGCAAGGAAGCGCAAAGTTGGGATGTGCTGGTAGCCGAGTTAGACGTGAATGTGCTTGAGCTTGGTATATACGAAATCCTTACTTGGGTATAGATTGATCCCTTGTACTCAAGTGCGGGCAGCAAACCCGTTTTGGTAATGCCTTCCTTTTGTAACTTCTTGCTTTGGGCCGGCCATGTCTCGTCATAAGGGTACCGAATCTCTTTGAACTCGACACCAGCATCCTTCAAAAATAGACTACGAAGGAACTGATTGTTAGTACACGCTTCAAATTCCAGTACACAGGTTAAATTTATGACAGAGGTAGATCTTACTTGAGAACTTCACCCCGACCGAGCCGTCCGAGGGCGAGATAGTGAAAGACTGGTACATCAGATTGAGAACTCATGGTGATCTGCAGGGTTGTGGTTGTGTGTAGGGACGATGAAGAGCTAATATCAAAGGACGGGATTCAGGAAGACAGACGAGGGTTATAAAGTTTGGGTGTCGTCATCCACACGCAAGTCACGAATAGGGCGTGGCAGGGGGGTTACTGTAATTGGTTGCTCGGCACAGAGGAAAACCGCTTCTCCGCATTCTTCACTCTCCTCTTTTGTTCGCTTACGGTGGAGATTGACAGCCAAGAGTTGGTAGTTTTGGTGGCATTTTATTTCAATAGTTTGCAAGGGTGCCTAGCCTACTGGAGACATAGGAATGCAATAATAGGAGCCAAATCGACAGAGCTGTGTGCTCCTCGGAAGCTTCCCCATGGCCTCACGGGCGGTATCTAAGGTGTATTCAAACTCAGCGGAAGAAACGCTGTGATCAATTCCGGTACAAGATTATACTATTATTAATTAAGAGGTCCTAATCTCAAGAGGAAATAAAAATAAACAAAAAGTCTCATCATCGGTCCAGTGATCAGCTAAGCCGCGGCTCGAGCATGACCTATGATATCCTTGATTCCCTCTTCGAGGGTCGTATCGCCACGAACAATATCGCGAGATATCGGATCGGGCTCTTCGACCATTTTTCCTCCGGGCAAAACGCTCAGGCTCATTTCCACTATGTCAGGCACGGCAGAAGGTGACATGAATTGGCCAAAAAAGGTGCTTAGCTGGTCTTTCTCAACCGGTTTGATTGCAACGTCTTGCCCAATTGCCTTCGAGACTGCCCGTTGGACATCGAGCGAGGAATACTTGGCTACCCCGTGTATCTCAAAGATGTATGGATTTGTTTTGCCTTGGTCGCTGCCGGAAGCTCCGG